ATTACGTAGCTTAAATGAGTGTTAAAATTTGGAGTGATGGGTCATATGACAATGGTGTATGAAGTAGGGTGAGCAAGTAATTATGTAGTGGTGGTGATTGGGTTGCTTTCTGAATGGCAAGCTTTTTGTTAGTTTCCACCTGTGAGTTGGGACTGCAGGCCTAAGAAAATAATGGAATGTATTCACCCGCTCTACTTGTTCTTTTTTCATTTAGTACTAAGTTGACCAGATTTAAGGGTCAAGAGGTGGCTGAACAATTCTTGCTACTGTTGATTACAGCATTTTTCTTAGAGTCACTGGTAGTCTTAATGGGGAAAGCAAAAGGGTGGCCTCTTGTGATAAGAACTGAACCTACCCCTCTATTTCTTGCCCCGAAAGACACAGCATTTAATGTTAAACTCTTGAAACCTACCCACACCTACCTTCTCAGCCCCTTCCATGGGCCTGGTTTCTTGGTCAAACTGCAGAGTAACAGTAAATAGTTATCCCTCCCTCCCCTCCCCCCAGTATTGCATCCATCTTGTTTTACTTTAGAAGGTGTGACGTCATTTTTTGCAATGGAGAATTGGGGGTTCTCTTAAAAAAGAGTTCTCACTTCTTTGCTTTAAAGGAAGCAAGCTTCTTGCATTTGTAGTTAAAACTGAAAGTGCAGCAGCTTAGCCCTACCTGTACTCCAAGTCTTTCTTTGCTTCACACTTTGACTGTCATTACCAGTCAGAATAGATCACTGCAAATTAGTGCAGGCTTGCTTCAGAGATACCTGGATGTTTCGGATCACCTAGGGTATGTTTTCAAACAAAATCACAAAATCTCAGATGACAGGGTTCTCAACTTGACCTTATAATAAGGCTCATAATAGAGAGAGATCTAGTGATGCTAGATAGGGAAGGGAGGCTGACAGCCACACAACACGGCTTCCGCAAAAACAGGTCCTGCCAGACAAGCCTTGTGGAATTCTATGACAAGGTTTCGAGATGGCTAGATGGAGGGGATGCAGTGGATGTGGTATACCTGGATTTCAGCAAGGCCTTTGACAAAGTGCCCCATGATATCCTGGTGGAGAAACTGAGGAGTTTTGGGATACACCAAAGCACTGTCCGGTGGATTAGGGCATGGTTGACTGACCGAAAGCAGAAGGTAACCATTAGCGGGGAATCATTGGGATGGCGGCCAGTGATAAGTGGGGTCCCCCAGGACTCTGTCCTGGGGCCAACCCTGTTTAAACTTTTCATTAACAACATGGAAGAAGGGGTGAACAGTCTGCTGATCAAATTCTCAGACGACACTAAAACTGGAGCAGTGGCCACAACTGAGGAGCAGGCACTCCAGATCCGAAAGGATCTGGGCAGACTATGGAAGTGGGCAGGAGACAACAGCATGGCGTTCAATGTGGATAAGTGCAAGGTCTTGCACTTGGGGCATAGGAATAGCTGTCATAAGTACAGGTTAGGTGATAAGTGGCTGGAGAGCAGCACTTGTGAAAGGGACCTTGGGGTACTGGTTGACTGCAGTGTGATGCGGTGGTCAAGAGGGCGAATGCCACCCTTGGTTGCATAGCCAGAAGTGTGGCTTCTAGATCAAGAGAGGTATTACTACCACTCTACACGACTCTGGTGCACCCGCAACTGGAGTATTGTGTTCAGTTTTGGACCCCTCATTACCGAAAGGATATAGCCAGGTTGGAGTCAGTGCAGCGTAGGGCCACAAGGTTGGTGGCCGGTTTGCAGGGGATGCCATATGAGGCGAGACTGAGGGAACTGGGTCTCTTCAGCCTGGAGAAGAGGAGACTCAGAGGGGATATATTGGCGACATACGGGTATGTGACGGGATGTCACATAGAGATGGGTAGAGACCTGTTCTCCCCTGCAGAGGAAGGCAGGACGCGCTCCAACGGAGCAAAGCTCAGGAAGCCAAGGTTTTGTTTGGATGCCAGGAAGCACTTCCTGACAGTCAGGACCCCGAGGGTGTGGAATGGGCTTCCACGAGAGGTCGTTGAGGCCCCGTCGGTGCGGGTGTTCAAGGATAGGCTGGACGTCCACATGGTGGGCATGTCGTGAGCAGAGCCGGCTGGTGCCGGAGGTCAGACTAGATGGCCCAGGAGGTCCCTTCTGACTCGCTCTGTTTTCTATGTTATAGCTATGTTAGAATCAGTGCAGCACATGGATGGTAGCTGGATTAAGGGGGATGCCATGTGAAATGAGATTAAAGGAGCTGGATCTTTTCATCCTGGAGAAGAGGACACTCCAAGGGGAACTTTAGTGACATATAGGTATGTGAAGGTGTATCACATGGTAGAGGATTGTGACATGTTCTCCCCTGTGGTGGAAGAAAGGGTGCAGTTCAGTGGGGCAAAGCTCAAGGAACTGAGTCTTAGGTTGGATGTCAGGAAGAAGTTTCTGACAGTTAGGTCTTTTAGGATATGGAGTTGACTTCCATGGGAGGTGGTGTGGACCCTATCAATGAGGTTGTTCAAGGAAAGATTGGACAACCACATGTTGGGTTTTGCATGAGTGGAGCTGGCTGGAGCCAGGGGTCAGGCTATATGCACTGGTAGACCCCTTCTGACTTGTTATGTTTCTGTTGAGATGTCTTGATGACTAGACTCTGATTGTGATACATACTGAATGGCCTTTGACTCGAGAGGGAAGAGAGCATAAGTTCTTACAATGCCTGGATTGTTCTAAACTTAGTAAGAATTGTGAACAAATGTGATCAAATAGTGCTGTGAGAGATAATTTCATAACCGAGGAGTAATTATAACTTGAGGTGGAGATGAAATGTGGTTACATTAGGCTGAAAATACTTACACAAATCAAAATTATATTGTGGAGATCTTGGAGGTCTGAAACTTCTAGCAGTTTAACAGGGTGACAGAATGGTAGTATGACGCCCTGAGGACTGACTTGTTATGTATGTGATGGAATTCTTCATGTAAAAATCCTTGAAAGAAAATTACAGGTTTTGCATAATGTGACAACCCATTGTGAGTTTCAATGAGAATTTGATCGCCCCAGGGTACCTTGTTCATGGGTAACAAGTTATTCCAATAACCCATGGGTGGTTGTAGTGAATGGGTTGTCTTGTCATCCAGTGGTTACTGAGCTGTTTAGCAAGACTGGCAAACAACCTTTGGTGTGCTTGACAAGTGGCTCTCAGACGAACAGCGGTGTGCCAGCCATAGCAAAATTGCCCAAGTGGTACTCAGGAGCATCTGACGCTGGCTTCTCACCCTTCCTACTGCAATTGTGAGCTGTTTGCGTGGCTGCTGCAGCTTTTCCCCTTTTCCCACCATCCCATTTTGCCATCCACTATCAGCTCCTTGAAAGTGTCAGCATAGCACCTTGGAAGGGTCTGTCAGAAAATTTTCATTTTTTAAAAAAAAAATTCATTTTTTAAAAAATGGCGAACTGATGACTGAGTTTTTTCGAAGTATATTTAATATTGGCCAATTTTGTTAATTCATTTTAAATCTAGTATGTGGGGGGCCTCAGACGATAGAAATACTTTGTGTTACTCGAAGGAACTGCTCCCACTTGACAAATTAGAATGTTTAACAAACAGAGCATTCAGCCAGGACCAGTGGAAGCTCGCTTCAGATCTCTACTTAGTCATGAAGCTTCTTGAACCATCCTGGGTTTGCCTCCATCCTTCATTTCACAGTTTAATAGTGAAGAGAGAATGATGTGGAGGCAAACCATGCATGATTTACCTACCTTGTGCTCCTTGAAGGTCAAGATGAAAAAATAACTTCCTAGTACTGGCAGCAGTACTAATGTTACGTGACTTGTGCTCCAGAGATCTCTAATTGTGTGCACCTTAAGGACAAGGAGAGAATGCTTGTTTCTCTTGGCATTAAGCATTTGTGTGGTTAGGTGTTGGGTTGACCATATTTACATCATAGCTGTTGTCACAATCAATAGTCTGTTCTGAGCTGCTAATTGGAGACAGGTTAATTAGCTTGTGTCAACACAAAAATCATTAGAGCACAGCATTTAAAAAATCAGCTTAAGTACATACTCAACAGAAACAAGCTTAAATTCATTACTCCCAGGGGGAAGAAATTTTAGGAATAGGCTATCACTTAGCTGTTCGAATATAGAAAATCTGGTGTGTTTTACACTGTGGAAAAGCTGACTGGAGACCCAGTAGTAGTTCTTTGCACAGGGAGGCTGTCTCAGTGGTAAAGCAGGTGCTGCTCACGCACGCATTCGGCCAGTCCAACCCTTGGTGTCTCCAGGTGGGGCTAAGGGACGATCTTGCCTGAAAACCTGGAAAGTCATTGCTGGGCTTATCAGTGCTGGGCTTGATCGACCAGTGGCCTGGCTCTGTGTAAGCAGCTTCCTGTGTTCCTCTGCAGAATGTCTTGTGCTTTGACTCCTCCCCACTCACCAAATACTCTTCCTTTAAACAGTTTGCAAGCAACTACATAGTTCAACTACATTTGTCTATAAACACAAACAATATAGGGCAGCACAGTGCCTTGTGAAAGGATTTTTGCTGACTAAGTAGTGCATGAGGACACATTGCATACATTTCATGCTTCCTCTTCCAAAGAGCTTTTAGTGCCTCTGAGTTATATACACATACTTTGCAAACGGTTGGGAGCTCACGTGGGAGACAGTGGGGACTTGCTCTGGGAAAGTCAGATACTTCCTCAGCAGAGGGGCATGTCAGCCTTGCATAATAATGAAACACACACACATGTCATTCTACTGTGAAAGAACAAAATATGCCTGTACAGTGGTAGGTCTGGTGAATTATTCTTCTCAGGTAGGTGGCACTGTAGCATGACCACTGCACAGACAAAGTCGGTCAAGAAGATTGGACTCGTTGAGTTAGAGCAAACTGGAAAGTACCCAAGTCTCCCAGGATTGCCCAACATTCAGAAACTGTTCATAAGGTAACTTTGGAAGCAGTACTTGTTTTTTGCCGCTGCTGCTGCTGCATGGGTCACGTTCCTTGGCAGTGTGGCCATTCTTTACCCATTTCCTCTGTTTTAGACTCAGAACTTGGATTCTGGGATAAAGAAAAGAAGATATTCAGGGTAGCTGATTTGTGCATTCATGCTGAGCTGGAAGCCAAGAAAGAATGGTAAACAAAAGCTTTTTCAAAGATACTCATAGATGATGTACAAAAGAATGGAGATAACTGAAGTGACAGTGCAACCTAAGGATAATTTAAATCTGTCAGAAAGAAAGTGATTAAATAATCTGTGACTGAGTCTCTTGGAATCTGAGCATATAAAATGCTGGACTAATTTGACAATCTTCTGTTCTTCACATGACTGTCTGCTTAAAAGAGGTTTTTCCAATCTTGTTGGATATGCATTCTATTTTAAGCCTCTAGGGAGGAGAAGGAAATGCAGTATTCTGTTGCTAAGAGACAAACTGTAGCATAAAATTCATTTCTCCTAAAGAGTTTCGGATTTTAGGTTGAATTGGTAACAATGGTATATTTTATCCCTCCCATATATTTTGTCCAGTGGAAACTGGGGAAATGGAGTAGGAGTATTTTGTAAAAAGGAAGACTCTTGTTGCTGCTCGGATTGCTTGGATTCTGGATATCTGCTCGATTTTGTTAATAGATAACTATATAATACTGAGAATATAAGTCAGGGTTAGACAACCTGGTACTCTCTATATGTGTTGAACTACAGATCCCATGATTCCTGGCCACTGCTGATGCTGGTTGGGGCTTATGGGCACTAGGTTGCCTGTACCCAAGGTATCAGTTTTCAGTCTCACTCTCAGAACTTCTGAATTCTCTACAAAGGCTACCCAAATGTGCTTGGACTATAAGCTCGAACTGATCTGCTCTGCATCATTTTGCCAACAGATCTGAAGAAGGTTGGGGTTAGAAGAAGACATGAAGGGAGTCAAGAGGCAGAGAGGAGTGTGGAGGTTAAAAAAGAGACTACAACTAAATAAAAGTTTTTGAAATTAGCCTGGATTCAGTGAATTGCAGACCCTCAAGGTGTGTGATATTAAAACTTTTCTTGAAATCTTTTTGGCAGGCATCAGAAGAGGCCTCACTGCGAGCTTTGGAGAGCCTAATGACAGAATTTTTCCACAATTGCACTACTAATGAAAGGAAGCGTGAGATTGGTAAGCTCATTTATGTTCTCACTTTCTACAACCTCTATAGGATCATCCCTGCCAAGGCACATCATCTTCAGCAGGAGCAGCATTGTTAACGTTGGTCTTTCTTATTTTGCATAGCTGCTTCATTATTTACTTTGTTGCTGTATTTTTTTTAAACTGGACTACAACCAGAACAAACCTGTTCTCTCAAAGTACACCAAGGTCTTTTTCCAGCTAGACAGCCCAATTTTTCCCTAATAAGTACTACCTGACGTTTGGATAAGCAAAGTATTGACATCTGTTTCTAGGCTTTCAGTCAAGGCTTGGTTGAAAGCTGAAAAAAGCCCACTTGCATGAATGCATGCAAGGCGCAGCTTCAGCTGTGGCAGCTTCAGCTTCAAGTGCGGTTGCTACTCTCTGCCGGCAAATAATAGCAAGGTAGCTTTTCCTCCATGGAGAGCTGCTGTCAGACCCGGTTTGAGTTAGCACAAGATACATTTCCATAGCACAAATAGAATTCATAAATAATATTTGAATTAATTAACTATATGTGAAGCTACAGAATTGTAAATGCCCTGGTTTATGAAGGTTTTGCATCTATTCCCTCTTTTGCACCTAGCTAGAGTTGGTGCACCTTCAGAGTCTAGTAAAAAAATAAAGTAGATTCCACAAGTTTGAGGTATGCTTACTTCTGATTTGGGGTTTATTTAATTGATTTCTAAACCGCCCATTAACCAAAATGGTTCTCTGGGCAGTTCACAAAATCAAAAAACACAAATGCACACAATATACTGCACCAAATCAATACAATGCTAATAAAATAACAACATAACAACAATGAGCCCACAACAGCCATGTTCAAGTTAGTCGGAGGGTATAGCAGCAATACATCCAGTTAAAATGCCGTATAAACCAGATAATTGTTATAAAATATTCAAACATTAGCTGTTAAAACATTGGGTGAATAAAAAGGTTTTTACCTGATGCCAAAAAAAAAGAAAAAAGAATGGGCACCATGTGCACCTCCTTGGGAAGCTGATTGCAGAGTTGGGGTGCCAAGTCAGGAGGTGTCAAGAGAGATGTGTCAACAGGCTGCCTTGAAATGTGGGGTCTTTTCCAATCAGTTATAAATCAGGGAAATGGAGGCCCAGTTTCAAGAGCAAGCACTGCACCTGTGGGGATGGATCTTAAATTTGCCTTGAGTGGTATTTTTGGTGGAAAGCTAGGATATAAATTTAAGTACATAATGCAGTGAGTTAGCTAATTCATTAATTAAAAACTCTCCTGATGCTCACTGATGATCTCTTCCAAGTTTGTCTTCCCACAGATTTGGAAGTATGCTTGACACCATCTGCTCTTACTAGATACTTGCTTGGGGTAAAATAGCATTAAAAATGAGTCTGCTAGCATCATGTCCAGTAAGGCTCTTAGACCCCCGGAATCCCCTGCTTGTTAGCTATATTTCAGTGTATGTTCCCTTTAGCTTCCATTATTGAATGCTAAACCATGGCCTATACCTCTGCACTCTACATATGGCTGATGAGATATTACAGTGTTTTTGTTATCTCTGTGCATCATGCACATGGGTTCTGCACCTGTGTTGCTGCTCAGCTCTTCTCCGACTGCCTCAGCCACAGCTTTGTTGAGAACTTCCTTTTCACTGGAGATTGAGCTGAGCATGTTATTCATTCTACTTCCACAACCGCCACTGCCACTTTGCTCCCGCTTTCAGCTCAGCGGATCTCTCCTGTTTGCTTTTTCATACTATGTGGGAGGCTGGGGATTGTGGCCTTGAAATGTGCTCAGTGCAGGAGCAAACAGCCCCCCTCAGACTAACACTCTTTCTCTCCTCTGCTTGGATGGGGAAGGTAGAGTGGGCTCTTCCCGCTTTTGCCAGGCATTTACAAAGGAAGCCTGACATAAACACATGCTTCAGTTACAGGCAGCCTTGCAGAAACAAGCCTAAAGCTACAGATCCCAATGCAAAGTGCTAACCTCTACCAGCTTCCTTCAAGATCTCCTCCTGCAAGAGTCCCCATAGCTCTTTTACACTAAGGAGCCTTGTTTTCAGTTAATATGCCACCTGTGTCAGCTCTGGTAACACTGGTATACAAGGGGAAAGCCTAAGAAATGAAAGTAGCTAAATTTTACCAGAATTGGGTCACTAATAAAGGAAAATTATGTCCTGAGTATTAATTGGCTCCAGTTTCCAAGATATGGCTTCAGGTCAAAATTGCATAAAAATAATTCAAAATTACAAGGGGGATATGCGATTATGCTCCATAACTTTTCTGCAAAATGTGATATAGCAATGAGAATGGTCATTTAGTTCACTCTGTGAAATTAGATGTGGTTCAGGAGAAGCATACAGTGGGCTAAAGTTTGGGTCCACTGATATCGACGGCCCCGGATCAGCTGTATCCTGCTCATCGTCTGTATAATCATCTGAGTATAGAGAGTAGGATTCTGGTGGATCTGGAATTGGCAAGTCTCACCATGGGGTACAGGACGCAGTGTGGATGGAATGTTTGGATATTCCACAGTCCACTTCTTTCTTGAGATCCCTTTTGCAGTTGGGGGAACCATGCAAAAACAGCAGTCGCTACTATGATTGGTGGGTTCCTCCACACCACTGGGACTGCGAAAGGCATGGATTTCTTCTTCTTGTTTAGCCAATGACACAGATAAGTTGCACATGTAATGCAACAATAATGAGGGGCCCAACTCTTTTCCTGATCTCCTATTTTGCACCAAAATATAGGTGGTATTCCTTTTTTACCACTGCCATCATACGCCACTTCGGAGATGCAAATATAACCTCGCCACACGTGTAGCAGAAATTATCTGCGTTGTTGGCACAGTTTCGGGGCATCTTGGCTTCTGAGGGAAAATATCACACAACTGTTCCTTGGACATGTTAGGCAATGACACTTTCACAAGCCGCCCAATGTAACTGTATGATGCGTAGATCTGAGCAAGACAAATGTACCTTGCAATAAAAGAACAATAAATTACAGTTCGGTAATAATCTTTCATCTCAAAGTGAAGATAAATATATAACTTCCACATGGTACCATTTTCATTGTTCTACCGTACTTTGTCGAGTAGTTACGAGGCACCATGATCATCAGACACCTCCTTCCCTTGTAGGCAAATATACTCACCTGTGCATAAATCTTTAATGTGAAATACCTTGAAAACCTTTATCACCTGTTTTCTAATTCATCTAATCAAAATTTGTAAGAAGTAGCACATTTTATCTTGGAGGTCGATAATTTCCCAGTATTTGTAGACCAGTGTAATTTGCTATCACTGATATGGTGCTGTTGGCTGTTTGAATAGGTTTCCAAGGAAGGTGGTTGAGGCCCCAGCAGTGAGGGTGTTCAAGGAAAGATTGGACAACCAGATGCTGGGGATTACATGAGCGGAACTGCCTAGAGCCAGAGGTCAGACTAGATGGCCTGGGATGCCCCTTCTGATTTGTTTTGTTTCTCTGTGTCTGTATGTCAGTATCAGTTCTGTACCATGTTTTCAGTAGTGGCAGATCACATTACCACTGGGTTAATTCCAGTAGATCAGCCAGAACCATTGCCAAGTCCCATGCTTCTGGGTGTAGCAACATGCAAACCAGACCTTCTCACTGCTCTAGGTCAGTTGGTTGATTGCAGGCAAGCCAAGAGGGTGCAGCTCTACATTTACTCCAGATTTGGTTTACTCCACTGCTAGACAGTGTAAATTGAGCGATGTAAAATGCAGAATTATTGTCTGCAAAACACATTAAAGGTGGTGTTAATGTTTGGATGTACTAATCTAGATTTCATAAGCAGCCTGCACTGTATGCATTGCTTCCATGCTATTGCCCTGCATGCAAGCAGGGACGCTGTGAAACTGGACACTGCGTGATCATGAAAGTTAATCTGTGATCTTTTAGGAGGCATGTGCTTTTAACCTTGCCGGATCAGACAAATTGGGGAGATCAGGAATTACGGCCCTCTACATAATTTTGGACTGCAGTTCCTATCAGCCATAGCCAGCATAGCCAGTGGAGAAAGGAGATGAGCGTTGTGGCCCTCCGAAAATCTTAGCTTACATGTTGCCTAGTCTTGACACAAATAGACTATGTGTATGATCTGTGTTAAATGAACTTATTGGTTACCTCAACGAATGCATGACCTTGTTCTTGTGAAGTGTGAAAATCTCCTGAGGGAGGAGCTGAACTTCTCTATATTGTAGCAAAACTGCATATAAATCCAGAATTCTTCATGGTGATACATGTATACACTTTAGCCAGAGGTGTAACTGAAGGGTTGCAATCAGCATGAACTGCTTTAAAACAATGCCTGTTGCCCAGGTATCTTTCATAAGGAACTTGTATTTCAACCTTTATACTACAATTTAGAAGTGATGTTATCTCTAGGCTGTGTTGAAAGATGAAAACCTCTCAAGTTGGTAAAAGTGTTCAGAGATTGATCTTTTCATTATGAAAACACAACAACAACCCAATGCCTGTTTAATGTATTGAGTTTGTTCTTTATGTGCTGTTTTGGGTCTGCCTCAATTACTTGAAATCACTAATATTATGTGGTGTTAACCCATCAGCTTGAACAGTCCTTGAGAAAAGTAGGTGTTCCTAAGATTTCATGGAAGCTACTGTAGATTGTTGGAAAGTTTAGCAATATAATTGTCAGACCATTGAATTCTTTGTGATGGCAACAATGATTAAGTTTGAGAACCTGGAAGGGCCCTTCGCTTTAAAATGTGGGAGTAGATTTTGAAGGTGCCATTGAATTGCTAAATGACCTTTGTTATGGATTTTAATGCACTGCTCTGTTTATGTGAATAATTTATTTTTACAGAGGAGCTCCTGAATAATTTTGCCCAGCAGATCGGTGCCTGGAGATTCTGCCTGTACTTCCTATCTAGCACAAGAAACGACTATGTAATGATGTATAGCTTGACAGTGTTTGAGGTAAATATGAGGCAAGAGTAAACATACTGAAAGTATATTTCCTGTTGGAATTCTGCTTTGTTAAGTTAACTCTTCATTGCAATCATGCATTTTGACCCAGGGCTGTGAACGCCATGGAGTCCCAACAAAGCAGAGGTGTTGACCGGGAAGAATGAATTTTTGGTACATGTGCTCCAAAGCTGAGATTGGATGGCCTGCCACTCTGAGTTTCATCTGACTTTCCTGGTGCTGCAGGCCCACTTCAGCTCTCCCTCTGCCCCTTGGGAACCACTTCCTTGTCTCGTGTGTGTGTGTGTGCGCGTGTGCGTGCACACAGAAGATGTGAAGGAATGGGATGGCACAGAAAACAAGAACATAAGAGCCCTGCTGGATCAGGCCACAGGTCCATCTAGCCCCCTCTTCTGTTCGTGTAGTGGCCAACTAGTTGCCTATGGAAGCTCCCAAGCAGGATTTGAGTTGCTAGTTGTGTTTCCCAGCAACTGGTGTTCATAGGCTGACTACCGTAATGCTGGAGGTAGCATATAGTCCTCAGAGCTAGTAGGTGTTAATAGTTTTCTTCCATGAATTGGTTTCATCTCTAAATATCATTCAAACTAGTAACTATTGCTACATCTTGTGCAAATGAATTCCATAGTTTAACTTGAGACTATGTAAAGAATTTCCTCCTTTTATTTTTCCTCAATATCCTGCCAATCACTTTCATGGAATGACTGCAAATTCTGGTATTCTGAAAGGGGGAGAAAAACATCTCGATGATAATGCAATCTTGTGAACTCCCTTTTTTGGTTCTGGTTGCACCTTCTATCTGCGCTTGCACCCAATCAACATTTTGCTGCTATTGGCTTTTGAGTCTTATGAATGGGTTGCCCTCAAGCAAAGACATCTTTAATGCAACCCAAAATAAAAGATAGGAGGTATCCAATTTTTAATTTAAAAAAAAAGTTGCTTGATGAGAACTTCAGTATAACCTTGGTACCCATAATAGAGTCTTGTGGCTTCTTAAAGATGAACTAATTTATTCTGACATAAGCTTTCATAGAAACATAGAAACAGAGCGAGTCAGAAGAGGCCTCCTGGGCCATCTAGTCTGACCTCCGGCACCAGCCGGCTCCACTCATTACATGCCCAACATGTGGACGTCCAGCCTATCATTGACCAAATTTCTTCATCTTTAAGGTACCACAGCACTATTATTTTACTGCAATAAATTTATATGGCTACCCTTTAGAAGTTAGCAACAATTATATATTCCTGTTTTGCTCTCCTGCTTTGCAAGATACCTTATGTCCATAAAAAAGGGCATACATCAGATGAAGAACCTACAGATCTGTATTCAGATAGCCAATAGGATCTATTCGTATCAGAAGGATTTAATGAAGGATTTAATTCTTGCCTCTCCTTCTGCATGTGTGTAGGGTGTAAAAGTTTTAAAATGAAGCATAAGAACTTATCCATCTCATAATTATCACCACTTAAGAAAATTACTTGCTCCCCAAGTTACGGTGCTCTTGTATTTTTTTTCCTGTTTTTGCAGAAAAACAATAAGTGCTTTTTTCTTTCTATAAGGTAAATCTGCTCATTGCCTGTCTTAATGGAAGTTTCCATGAAGTCAGTATATTGATTGCAACCAGTGCTTTTTTGTAAAAAAAAAAAAAAAAAAAGTGCCGAAACTCATGTCGCTCCGACCACACACACCAATCCCAAGCCAAGCAGCGTCCCAAGCCAGGTGGCTGGACACACAAGCAGCCCACAGGCACTATGCTAATGATGTTTGCTGCTGACCTGCTATGCAGACAGGCGATTCAAAATCACTTCGTAAAATCCATTGGAAAAAATGGTGCCGGTGCGTTCGATGACAAAAAAAGCCCTGATTGCAACTATTTCAAGTATACTGATCGCCTAATTTTGAACAAGTAAATTAAGCCAAATACTTTCAGATTTTTCTACTCTCCTGAAAATTACCAAAAAAAATCCCAGTATTTCATCCTCTTCCCTAGCTGAGAAATATTTTACTATTGAATTCTGTGACTAAGTAAATATTCTAAAGCAGAATTTCAAATATTGAGCTTTTTTTCTAGACCTGGTATCCTAGCCTCTAAATTTGGTATCTTTGCTGGTAGAAGTGTGGTCTGAAGTTTGGCCTTAAGCAGGCAGGCATTTTCTTCCCAAAGATCCCACGCCTGAAGCACCATGATAAGCACCAGGGTATCTCTCTCTTTCAGAACCTGATTAACAAGATGTGGCTTGGGGTCCCATCGCAAGATAAAATGGAGATTCGCAGCTGTCTGCCCAAACTTCTTTTGGCTCATCACAAAACTCTGCCTTACTTCATCAGGAACAAACTTTGTAAAGTTATTGTAGATATTGGGCGGCAAGACTGGCCAATGTTCTACCATGACTTCTTTACAAATATTTTACAGGTAAGACTGTTCCTATAAATTCTATTACTGAAGTCATCCTTTGTTAGCTTGCCTGTATGAGAACTTTGTTTGAAAGAGGAAGCGAGAACATAATATGTTAATTGCAAGAAGCTTTAATCTTTAGAGGGCTATATATTTCTAAAGCAATGTAGCAAAAGAAGTAAGACAGTAGACACAGAACAGTTTAAAGGTCACTGCATCAGAACTCCTGAATTACTTTGAGGCTGTTCTATTGACATAAGTTATGTAGATCAGTCAAGGAAAGTTTTCAAGGCCTACCTAAATGGTCCAGTGTGTTGTAGTGGTGAAGAGTGTGGGATTGGGACTCGGGAGATCTGGGTTCTGGCCCCAACTCGGCCATGGAACCAGCTGGGTGACTTTGGGCCAGCCACATACTCTCAGCCCAACCTTCCTCACAGGGCTGCTGTTGTGAAGATAAACCTGAGGAGGAGAATGATGTAAACTACTCTGAGTTCTTTAAAAAACAAAAAAGACAAAATATATAATAATTAGAAAAAATGTTAATGGACAAGGAATGGATCTATTGGACAGGAGTTGCAAAGAACTGACACCATCACTGAGAATTTTCTGTCTTTAGGGTGAGTCCTTAAGAGTGACCTTAGAGGGTGGCCTTAGCATAGGGACAGAATTGTACAGGTTACGGCTGCCCATTAGCCAAGCTGATAAGGATTACGGCAGAATGCACATTTTTATCACTCATTAGTATTGTGAAGTGTTAACATTATATTTTATTTTTATGGTCATTTATTTGGACTAAGTAGATGTGAGATAGCTGCCATGTTCAGAGACATGGTAGCGTTAAAACTGGTCCATTGCAATGCTAAATTTATTGCCTCCTTGTAAAACTCTACTGGCTGTTTATTCAAAGCTGAAAACATAGCTGATAATCTAACAATTTGATTTTCTTAACAGTTGATCCAGTCTCCTGTAACAACCCCGCTTGGGCTGATCATGCTGAAGACAACGTCTGAAGAGCTAGCATGCCCACGGGAGGACCTTAGCATAGCACGAAAGGAAGAGTTGCGCAAATTGCTCCTGGATCAGGTTCAGACAGTCCTTGGGCTTCTCACAGGTCAGTGGGTGTGGTGAATGAGGTCTTCCTAGGTTTTAGGAGGAACAAACTGGTACCTGAGGAACTGAGCTTTAATGAAAACCACAGACACCTGAAGCAGATAACATTCCCCGAGGCTTCGGCGAATGGGGCGGCATAAAAATGTCTTAATAAATTAATAAATAAATAAATAAATTCCGCTGGGTGCAGCATCAGTGCACCTTTTACTTCTGGGTTTTCATGAATAGACTATGTTCATACTCTGAAACCATTATGGCTTATAGGTGTAAAGTTTTTAGCAAATAATTACAAATAAAAAAGTAAGCCTCGTACTTGTCTTTGGAAGGGCTGGAGGGAGCCATCTACATGCCTCTGCACCCAGCAATGTCAAATAGTTAGGAACAAAAATATTCACTTTGAGACCCGTTAGGTATTTTCTTCTTCGTTTCTTTCTTGTTCTCTTGAAACTTCAGTGGGGTCCCTTGGCAGGGTGTCAGTTCTGACAGTTGCCTAAGTGCCAAATTTGAAAATACATCCCTATTGTGTTTCTCACTTGCTCCCCCACTTTTAAGATAACACTTTCTTCAGAAAGGAGATGGAGATTTTAATTATAAACTCACCTACCTTTATCTTATTTCTGTCAACCTTACTCATTAAAAATGTAACCCTAAATAACCCAATACTTAGTAGTAGCCCTGCTTAAATAATCAGTTCTGCTTTCCAAGATCATGCTGATGCTAACTTGGATGGGCCTCTTCAGAAAGGGAATTTGTACACTGTGTCGTAGTTGCAAAGAGTGCCATTATTGAGAATTTAGTATTGAATTCAGAGCAGACCTTCCTTTGCTTTCAGCTTGCAGTACAAATCAGCTCTCGTAATGTCCACGTGGTGACCTTGCACCGTCCTGCATAAGGCATGCACAGAACAGAAGGTTTGCAAAGAGCTGTCAAAAGTGTCTAGACTTCCTTGGAATACAGACGTTTTTCTTGAGTCCAAGCTGAGCTTTGTGTACATGTAACTGTTACTTACGCAATATATGGTAACTTACCCGCCGTTGCTCAAGGGTCTGCTCTTCTTTCTTGATAGGTATCTTGGAAAGCATCTGGGATAAATACAGTGTTACTGCTGCCACCCCACCGTCATCTCCAACATCAGGAGAAAGTGGTAAGGCTTTACTCTCCCCTCTCTGCTCATAATCCATATCCTTAGCGACTTCTATGCTTTGATTATAAAGCAGATCCAAAAATACGTACAAGGAAGAAGAAATACAAGAAGGTGAAGTCTTTAAAAATGTATTATCCAATCCATGCAGGAGCCGCTGCTTTTTAAGCTTCGGGCCTCAGAGGCCATGCCATTGTTGTCCTAGTTTCTGGAAGGGTGATGCCGGTGAAGCATATGGATCCAGGGCTTCTGATACCTTTCCCAGCAGTATAGCAAGGAGCCAGACAGCAGTCACTCTCTCACTTGCTTGGGTAGTGTCAGAATGATTTTTCTAATGGAGTGATTAACTCATCCTATTCTTGTCAAAAAGAGCATTTATAATGCTAAGGAGAGTCTTCCAGACTCTGGGAATTTTTATTTGTGGAAGTTGTCCTCACCTGTTAAGGCAGACATGCTATCTCCTTAACACCAACAGCAGTGCTTCTGAACAGGAAAACAGCAAGGTTGTGAATCCCGTGAACAGCCCTGTTTGGCTTTTGCTGCAGCACTGTAATTCAGAGAGACATTAAGTTCACTTCAAAAAGCATGCAACATGTTATGATTTAACTGATATGTCAGAAGCCCTGATCTCTGAACCAGTCCCACACAGGCTAACTCATGACTTTTAGTAAGTGGGAACAAACTCAGCAAGTGCTCCTGGGTGCTTGGTTTCAGCTCAGTATCACCTTCACGCAGAAAGAATTTGGCTGCTCAGAACAGAACCTTAGTCTCTTCTTAGACACATGCAGTCTGCTAAAACCACAGCCGATACTCAAGTTCATAAAAACATGGACAAGTGAGAACTGGTAAACCGTGGTGGCCTAAGAATCTCAGTGTCCCTGGTTTAGATCCAGCCTCAACTGGAAACTGATTAGGTAGGCATAATGCTTTCGACATAGTTCCCCATGACATCCTGATCAGCAAATTAGCAAAGAGTGGACCAGATAGAGAAACTATTACGTGGATCCAGAATTTGCTGCACAACTGGACACCAAGAGTGCTCATCAACGGCACCTTCTCATACTGGATGGAGGTAACTAGTGGGGTGCCACGGGGTTCAGTCCTGGGCCCGGTGCTCTTCAACATCTTTAATGATTTAGATGGGGAAGTATACAGTGGGATGAATTGCTGTTTCTTTCCCTAGGCAACCTTTTAAGTAGCTTGTTGCAGAGTCCCAGCGCAGCCAAATTACTGAACCAGCCAATCCCTGTTCTTGACTCTGAGAGCGAGTATATCTGTTCTCTGGCACTGGAGTGCCTAGCCCACCTCTTCAGTTGGATTCCTTTATCTACAAGCATCACCCCTTCCCTCCTCACCACCATATTCCATTTTGCCCGCTTTGGTTGTGACACTCGAGCCAGGAAGACATCCTCCATCAATGGCAGCAGCCAGAACTCTGTCTTGGGTCAAGATCGTGGCCGGCTCGGGGTGCTTGCCATGTCTTGCATCAACGAACTGATGTCAAAGAACTGTGTGCCTGTGGAATTTGAGGAATACTTGCTGCGGATGTTCCAGCAAACTTTCTACCTCCTACAGAAGATTACCAAGGAGAACAACGCCCATACAGTGAAAAGTCGGCTGGATGAACTGGATGAGAGGTAAAAGAGAGCCAGCCAACAAAATCACCGTTGGCAGCCCTTCTGCTCATTTACTGCAAGACTGTCTTTACTGACTTCTTGTTACGCATGGGGTGTCTAATCACCTTTTTTCAGCGTTCCTGTGGTGAAGGAAGGGAGGTGTGCAGGTAGGTGCAACCAGGTATGTTGACTGTGGGAGGTTGCCTTTGCAAAGCCATTGTGGTGTTGTGGGTGTATATTTTCTCCCTCCCCATTCATTACAGTTTGACTGCAGGTCTGAGGTTGTACAAGGTCTGAATTTGTCTTCATTCGGTTGTTGCTGAAAGCAGCCGAAGAGACCCAGAGAGGTAAAGGAGTATTCCTTTTCTAGTTGGCATCCCTTGTCATATTCTCAAAGGAGTGGGTGGAAAAGCCAGGCTTTGAGTTGAAAGAACGTTCACTATGCACATGGAATACTTTAGAACCACCTTCCCAAACCAGCAAGCAAACTGCCCATGCTTGCTGGAAGATGATGGGAGTGGTGATCTTGCACGACTGCAGGGCACCAGGTGGGGGGAAAATTGCCCTTTGGTTTGAGAATTGTTAGTGTGCAGTGAACAATTTGAGACAGTTCAGTTGGTGTTTTTTTAAACCGCCTGTGAACCAGCTTTTCAAAAATATTCTAAGATTGAAATCTGCTTTTTGCTTTTCTGCAAATCTATTTTAAGCCCATTTTTAAAATGTGGAAGGTTAGTCTTGAACAGTATTCTTAGTTTTGACAGAAATGTACTAAGAAGCCTTTTGGCTGCTTTGTCGACTATTGGCAAGAAAATAAAGCATACAGGAATATTTTAGCTCTCTAGAAGAACTGTTGAAATGGAAACTGGCAGGAATGGTTACAGGGTGCAACATTCCTTGCATTGCATATTACTCTCATGCATCTAATGTATGGAATTTGAGAGCTCTGTCTTGCTGAAACTTGTTTCTTCTGTTGAATGCGTCTAGAAAGCTAAAGTTAAAATTAAAAAGTCTTAAGCTCGTAAGACATTTTTTGAAATTTGCTGTTCTGAGGGTTAGTTTTTCTTAAGTGTTTGGATGTATTGAAGACACAGAACCTAGCTGAATGTTACGCAGTTCCCTGTCCATTCTTCACCCCCACCCCCAGTCTTTTGCTTAATACACAAGGGGGACTTTATGTAAAATGCCTGTTGATCCTGGTTGGTTGCTATAGTAATTACACGCTTGCTTTAAATTGAATTGAATGTTAATTGGGAGCAGAGAATCCAATGTGAGCAGACTTCTCAAAACCTTCCTCATGTGGATGGTAAACTTCAGATTGTGGCTTTTAGTTCTGCTCTTTCCTCATCTGTTTTGCAAAAGCATACCCACCCATTTCTTCATACCACCATCTAACTCATTACACTTCAGAAGCCAGTAGAGCTGGTTAATAGGCAACTGATGTAGCACAGTCACTAGAAGCCTTGGTAGGACATTCCTGGCTTAAATTCTCAGCTGTGCTTGACCTGTTCAGCGGCCCTGGGCAAATGTGTGTTTGTCTGACCCATCTGTTACTTTGAGGACCATGGTGCTGATAGTCTTGCAGGGCTAATTTGGGGCTTGTCTGGGTGTTGTTCAGGAAGCATTTGAACCCTTGAGATAAAAGTTCTGTAGGTACCTATTTATGTAAATTACATCTCATGCTCAAAGACATAAATGATAAAACTAAAGGCATCAGGAGGATTGGTAAAGATTTCCAAGGCCTAAGTGTACTGTGCAGTAATTATAAATTCTCTTTCAAAAATAAATGCAGCATAAAGAAATGGAATTATTCTTCTAATAATCATTCTTTTGAATCATTCTTCTAATAATCAGCTCTTCAAAATTAGCAGGCTTTGAGATAGTTCTGTCTTTGAGTGAGGATTGGACAAAAAGAGTTATTTGGAAGAAAGGACAAGGTCATTGTTTCACGACTTCAGTCATGTGTTCTTTTACCATTGGATGACTTTATAATAGACACTGCTCAAGATCCAAAGATGCATCCTGTTGGGTTTATTTGGTGCTCAGAAGCCGACTCTTCCCAGCAGGATACTATATCGCAGGGTGGCCAAACCGAGGCTTGGGAGCCACATGTGACTTTACTTTGCAGCTTTCTGCTTGCTGCTGCCTGCAGGCTCCCACTTGCTGCCCCCCACGGCCGCCACCCGCAGGCACCTGCTTGGGACTCGCTGCTCACTGCTGAGGCCCATGAGCACCTGCCGGTGGCTCTCAACATCTGACATTTACTGTATGTGGCTCTTCCACTGAGTAAGTCTGGCCACCCCACTATATCAGAACCAGATTTGAAAGTTCTCTCAGTTTCAAAGTTGGTGCACCATCATGGTGCCACGATGAATATCTGTTAGAGATCCACAAATTAGCATCCTCTTGGATGTATGTTAAGAGTTACATTGAGAAGCAGTATGGTGTGGTTTTCAAGGCCTACCTGAAAGGGCCAGTGTGGTGTGGTGGTGAAGAGCATGGGACTGGGACTCAGGCAGTCTGCATTCTAGACCCTGCTCAGCCATGGAGCTCCCTGGGTGACTTTAGGCCAGTCACAGACTCTCAACTCAACCTACCTTGCAGGGTGGTTGTTGTGAGGCTAAAATGGAGAAGAGGAGAACTTTATAAGCCATCTTGAGTTCCTTAAAAGAGCAAGAAAGGTGGGATTTAATAAAATAAATAAACGTTATATTACATTTTATTTAAAGTTTTTGTATGCCGTCCCCTTGCTATATAGCCTAGGGACGGCTCACAGAAATAAATAAATATCATACAAATACAGTTAAAAACCGAATGTTGTTGTTGTTGGTTGTTGTTATTCTTTGGATCGTGCCCTTTGTCCACAAAGTAAATATGCTCTACTTGACAACATAGTTTCAGGCTTGAATAGAATTTCTAGCTAATCTAAATATTATTTTCTGCTAAGAATTCACTCCCTCATAGTGTTTTGCATATATTTCAGCAGCACCTATCCTAACTGATCAAATTAATAGGATTAGTTGATATTTTAAGAGGAACTAAAGTTGCTTTTGATGAGTCTCTTTCTGCAGTGTTTCAGGTAATAATGGAATTGAAGGGTTGCCCGTCATGTAGGTAATTGTTGCGGGGTTTCAACTGGATTGTTTAAAAATGGCTCTGAGGTGCATTTTTAATGAAAGAGATCAATGAGTGAATTTTGATATTTGTTGTTGTTGTTTCTTCTGACCAAATCCTTCACTTAATTGCGTTTTCTTGCATTTTTCCATTGTAGTTACATAGAGAAGTTCACTGACTTTCTGCGCCTCTTTGTGAGTGTCCACTTGAGGAGGATCGAGTCCTACTCCCAGTTCCCCGTGGTTGAATTCCTTGCACTGTTATTCAAGTATACATTTCATCAGGTACAGCCCTGGAGAGTCACTTTTGCTTGGCTTGACCAAGGTTTGATTGTCTAGTACAGTGGATAAAAGGTTACTCTCTGTAAGCTGTTGGTTCATGGGTTCCATGTGAAGAATCTTAACTGGGTTTTACTATTAAGAAAGGAAATTTATTCTTGTATTTCTAAATAGCAGTACTCTTAGGAGCTGGTTTGGCCCTTGGAAACTGTGTACATGGTTAACCAAGCTGGCCCATGTGGAATTAACATCTGATACCAAACAACTTGGAAGACTTGGCTGAGATCAGAATCTGTAGCTATTTTTAGTACAAGAGAAGAGAAAATACAGTAACACTGTTATTTTAAACAGCTCAACGAAGTGTAGTACTTTTAAATTTTCAGCTTTACTAGTGTTTAGGATACTAGTAGGGTACAGTCTTTTGCATTACACAGAATCTTTGGTGCTTGTTCAAAGGTAGGGCAAGTGATTAGGAGATTAAAAGAACTGTTTTGTACCAAGATGTGGTGTGCCTCCTTGCCTTGCATTCTCCAGCTCCAGGATCAAAATTAAGCCATACCACATGTGGCATCAGTGGATGTATGTGTTACATGTGTGTCTCTGTGTGTCTGTACCTCCATAAGCAGACCTCAACCTGAATCGCTCTCTGTCTCTCTCTCATATGCATATCTCACTTATTAACACCCAAAGGAGTTTCCAGAGTATGCTGTTACAAAGGTAGTTGAAAAAGACCAAATAAAATTAGGATCTGCCTTGAGATACAAACCAACAGAATAACACATTTTTTCAGGGATAGAGTATTAAACACCCCAAAGATCTGTGCCAAATTAAAAGGGCTCTCCCTAGCACTGAAAGGACTGGTGAGCCTTCCTGAAAAGTCAGTTGCAAGCATTGAATGCCATCACTAAAAGGCTCTTGGCTCACCATTGCCTTAGCTTCCTTGAAGGCAAGAGAATCAGAAGATGTGCAGAAGGTTCTGAACATGTGCGAAGATTCATTTGGAAGCAGTGAACCCTGTTAGCATTCATTGGCTATTGAAGGACAGGGCATAAATTTCACAAAGCTTTCTGTTAAAAAGAAATAAGACTATAAGGAAGGCCTGATGGATTAGCTCAAAGGCCTACTGGCCCAGCTTCCTGCTTCCCACAGTGACCCTCTAGGTGCCTGTGAGAAGTGCATGTACTGGACATGGAAGCCATAGTTCTCTCCCATTATTCTTCTTGAGGTATGCTGCCTCTGCTTCTAGATGCAAATGTGCCAGCCAAATCAAATGTACCAAGTAAGTAGGAAAGTATTGTCTTTTTCACCTTCAGGATTATTTCTTGCATAATAGTGAATATATGTATAAGCCCAAAGGTGGAAATACAGTACTCATGTGTAGTCTCTTAGATGCCCAAAGCATCCTCCATCAATGTTACAACAATCCAGGAACCTGTCCCTGTCATTGTGACATAAATTCTAGTTAGCACCAATGTTAAATGCTTGCAAGATGAACTGCTTCAGTTCATCGTCTTTATGAGGTCCTCCATGACCTGAGCAGTACTGTATGCCTACTTCTGGCCCTCCCCATTGTGTACTATGATATTGTGTAGTCTGTCCTCAGTTACGTTGAGAAAAAAAGCAAATGCAATGACTTGCTTTCCACAACCAAATGTGGATTGTACTGAAGATTGTACTGCAGTGCAGAGCTGAACCTGGGATTTTTTTAAAAAAATTGGTTGCTGCTGAATAATGGGAACATCGGAAATGTGCCAAGAGAGGTTGGGGTGGAGTGGTGGTCATGCTCTTTGAGAAGAAGCTAGGTGGGCCTTTGAAGAAAGTATTGGAAGAAAAAGAAAACCCAAGTTTCTCAGGGTGTACCTATTACAATGATGGCTCAATGTGTACTATTACTAATACCTATGTTGTTGACTTCCATATTTCAGCCTACCCATGAAGGTTACTTTTCCTGCTTAGACATTTGGGCTCTCTTCTTGGACTACTTGACTGGTAAAATAAAGAGTCGTCTGGCAGATAAAGAAGCAGTACTCAATAGGTAAACAATATGGATTGTGTTATGCAGTGAACTATGCCTTGATTGAATAAGTTGTCATTTTTACTTGTTAGGTATTTTTCCTATCAGTCTTTGAGGACTTCGCTGTGATCTGAAGCCTTGTACTTTTGCTAGCAGCATAAGATGTGACCTTAAGGCTTTCTGTGCTTGTGTTTAAGATTGCTGCTAGAAAGAATCACTTATTTTATGTATAATGTTCAGTTTGGGTAGCAGATTATCAGGAGAAGTTTAGCTTCAGATAATGGTGTTGAGACACAAGTCTATCCATGTAGCAGAATGAGATGGCAGAATGTACTATACAACTTTAAACTGTAGTTGTAAGATATCTTTGAATGCTTCCCATATTAAAATTTTAAATTTAGCAAGTTTTAAGAAATAATCTTTTCAAATGAAGTTATATTTTTAAGTCATTACCCACCTGCAGTCTAAAGCAGCACGGTCATACCACCTCCTACTGCTTTGACTTAGCAACCAGAACCAGTATGGCTAGGAATGGAACTATTCTGAATTCTTGCAGAGAATTGGAGCCTGGAAAATCAGTTGCACATAGAATAGAAGCCTTGATTTTGTTGCTTGTAAGAGTACAGGAGGAATAAGTTTGCATAATTATTTCTACGCATGTGCTTCTTTAAAATGTAACTTCACAGCAACCTTGTGAACAGGAAGTTGTAAAGCGAACGTTTACATGTAAGTGTGGTTACACCACAGGAACAGACTTCCCGTCCAGCGTAGTCTGAGCCTGCTTTTAGCAGAACATATGTACAAAAATTGTCTAGTCTGAAAGTGGCAGTCATTCTGTCTGAAGTGACTATCTGACTAATCCTATTCTCTGCACTTAAGAGAGAAAGTTTTTTTTTCCAACCTGGAATTGTCTGCAGGATGAGAGTAGGAATGCAACTCAAGCTTGCATACTTGCTTCTTTACCATGCAGAGAGAAAGATGTCTAAAAGATCTCTCTGTTAATTAAGTGTAGGCTCTCATGTTTACATTTCTAAACTTGGAGAAATCCATGTTCAAATAGCCACAGGGTTTCTCCTCCAGTTGGTCATCCATGTCACTCTGAAGGCAATATGGAGGGTTTGCTCAGTTGTTTACACCTGCTAGAGAAGAGGATAATGCATGTTCCACAAGAATGATAGGACACAAAGTACTTCCTGCAGCATGCTATGTCATTGGCAGCGGTTGATGTTGCTGTATTGCATTTTTTTTTAGTTTTGTAACTAAGGATAGACATGGGAAAGTTGGTTGACTTCTGCATTTACAGCTGGTAAATACCTCATTTCTCAGAAGAAGCATATTTGAATGAAGTCATACTGTTCTGTTTAGATCAAGGATGGGGAACCCAGGAGCCAAATTCATTTCTGGGGAAGCTTTTTTTGAGGGGCAGCAAAGCATATTCCAGTGGCAAGCAGAGTTAAAAAATACCAGCATATTTTAGCTTAAAGCTCTTATTCTAGTAACTAAGCCCTACGAAAGGCTGTTGGGGCATTTAGAATGGGGAAAAGTGATACAGAAGCAGTGAAGCCATCAGACGGGCCGGGGCAAAGGAGATGGGGCCAAGCAGCATGGCCAGCTGCGGAAAATCTAAGTGCCGGGTTGGGGTGCCAGTTGTGGCCCCTGAGCCTGAGTTTGCCCACCCTTGGTTTGAATGCCACTACAGTAATTATGCTTTTGTAGTAAAGGGGCTGCATTCCTCATGTGTACACTCAGGCTTCTCCGGACTTGAAAACATCACCTCTGCTCTTAAATGTCTGAAGTTCTGTGCAAGGAAATGGAAGGGTTCTGCAGCCTGTATGTTTTGCACAGAGTAAATCAATTTGCAAATTCTTACTTCACGTAATCTTGATGATGCAGGTAGGTAGAAAGTGCTGCAGGACATTGCAAATTGTGTTCAGCCTCCATCTGTTGAGATTTTAGCAACAATTTTTTCCAAGCCTGTCTTTGGAACCACCACATTCTTCCAGTTGCTTGTCTTTGGAACCACCACATTCTTCCAGTTGTTTGTTTTAAAAAGATAAATACCAAGAGTCTTGGCATGCTGATTGGCTGTTGTGATTATGATGTCATTAGTATTTCTTATAAGTTATTCTTTGTGGTCTCTGTATCACACATGTGGGCTTTGCACACATGTTTGGAGCTGTTTCAGGAAGATTCCAAAGCTGATTAATTATTACTTGGTGGGAGGATGGCCCAGAGACGTGTCTAGCATGAAGGCAGGCTCCTGCTGAGATTTGCATTCTTCTTCAACTGCCATTATAAGCACATTGGGAAGTTCCTCCACCACTTACCTCATGAAGTTGTTCATCTCTCGACTACTTCTCAGATTTCTGTATTGTCGGGTGGTTCTTACCAATGATCTTCTCACTAGAACCAGGAAAAAAGGAGAGAGAAAAGAAAAAAATAGTGTTATTATTCTTGTCTCCTTCTTCCCCTTACTGCCTTCATTGAATAGACAAAATGGCACTCATAACCGTGTTCCGTAATTATGTGGCATGTGGCAGTAAACGTCCTCCAATGAATGCCCATTTCCTACACCTTTTCTGCCTGGAGGAAAACTCAGGTCGTTGACGCCTGCTACTCTTGCCAGGCTTTCACCAAACCGTTGGGCAGACCGTCAAAAAGGCGAATTGTGGAGCTGTGCCCTCCATATGCATGATGCCCAGCCATCCACCTCAGACCTCCTATGCCTTCAAATGCAGATGAAAACTTAGATTCTCCCCCATCGAAAGTACCCAAGATGGGAAGCCAAGGAAAGTGGGCAAAAAGAATGAAGCTCCAAAATCTCTCGCTCTTACTATAGAGAAGGAGAGTGGTAAATGTTCTCAGAAATGCTTGGACATTCCTCCTACCACTGGCTTCCCATGTGCTGAAGACATGGTGCTGACGTGAGAGCCAAGTCACCCTTCTGCCCCACCACTGAAACCAATATATGAACCTCAATCTCAGCCTCGGTAAAGTTCTTTGGTCTCAGAAGGCGAAATTCGCGATCTGTTGCCAGCAATAATACTATGCCCAGACCCAGTATCGGTAGGGAGACACATTTCTCTGTACTCTATTGAGAGTATTTTTCTGTGTACCGAGCAAGATAGATGCCGCTACTGCTCTCACTCACTGGCCTCTGAGAGAGACTGCAGAACCCACTGAACACCCCCTCCTCATCATGGGGACTTCAATATGAACTACTGTAGAGAATGCCTTGGCTTGGTCGTCTCCAGGCATGGACAATCTCATTGGAGCTCAGCTGGATCCAATCAGTGCTCTTCCCAGGCGAATCCCAGTTTTGCTGTCCCACCTTCTTGTCTTCCTACAGGTTCTAGATAAATAGCTCCATCCTGTGGCAGACCACCTTGCTCTAGCTTGCCTAGCCATCGCTCAGACTTAATTGAGCATACTCACTCTGAACATGGACACTATACATCCATCTCGGCTACATGCTCTCCAAACTGATGTTCCACTGTACCTCCTGATACACTGGAACCTACACATGATTTTCCTGTCCTCTGGAAGACGCTGGTGTATTTTCTGCTCAGGTTCCCCTATGGCACATGGCCTCTGACTCAATCCTAGACAAGAGTCTAGCCAGGCAAAAGACCGGTAGTGGTCTATACCAAGACAGCTGTGCTGGCCACTATTCCACTCTTATCTGCACTCCTTGATGCAGTGCACCATGAGTGGAAATTTCCAGCATCGGTGGCTCCTCCACCTTGTCAGCGCAAAAATTCGTATCAAGTTGAAGGGAAAGACGCTGAATTTCTGTTTCACCTTCCTCAACCCAATTCCATTACCGTCGAGTTCTCTCAAAGTCACTCTAGAAAAGAACATTCCAACCCATCCAACAAGGAAGGCAGATGCCGTGGTGCCATCAGTCACTGCTTCTACTCTTCTGTGGTCCTTTCTATCAGGATGGCAAATTATCAAGCTATCCTGGCCTAAATATCATTTGATGCTATGAAATAGAGTAGCGTCCCTTGGCTTATCTCTTCCTAAAGATACACAAAACTTGGTCAATGAGATAAAAAAACGAGGCTATTCACCTGGCCAGACAGGAAATCCATACCACACAACACCAGGCAGAATGCAGAGCCTGAAGCATGGCAGGGGCAAAAGGTCCTTGTCACTTTGCTTGACTTCAGTCTTCTGACCTCTCTGTCAAAGCAAAGACAAGAATTGAAGACCTGCCATTTGATGGGGCAGGCCCAGTCCATGAAACCACTGATGATTGCATGGACTCTGTCTCAACGGCGAAAAACACTGCCTGTAGCTTGAGTCTTAGTCAGACACGACCTTTGAGATCTTGCACTTCTCATAAGTGGCACACACCTTCCTACCCATACCAGCCATGGCCTGCTGCTACCACTGCTACATGCCGTGCCATTGTTCTACTACACAGACTAGTATCAAGATCCCTCGTCTCAGATCCACCCAGTTTGGAGTCGTCAAGATGACTAGGAGGCACATGTGGCTCCCTTTGAAGCCTATTCTTTCCTCCCCACATTTTAACCATTCAGTTCTTTTTTGACTCTTGGGCTACCATCACCTCAGATTTGTGGGTACTCTCTATAATTCTCCACAAATACCATATCAAGTTTGAAACTCATGTTTTACTATCATGAAAAGGACTACCCCTCCATGCCCCTTCCTGAAGAAATGTCCTCCTTATTCCAGGAGGGAGCCATAGAACATGCACTGCCTGAGACTCCTCCAGATATTTTATGGCCCCTAAAAAAGATGGAGGCCTTTGTCCAATCCTCAGTTTGTGGGCTCTCAATTGACACGTTAAACCTAAATGTTGTAGAATGGTTCCTCTCCATGCCGTTCTCGCACTACTCTGCAAAGGTGTTTGGTTCACATCCACAGACCTCAAGGATGCGTATTTTCACATTTCGATTGAGGAATCTCACAGGGATTTCCTCCACTTTCAGGTGAATGATAAACCCTTCCAATTCACTGTCCTCACTTTCAGCCTGGCAGCTGTTCCCCATATATGCACAAAATGCATGGCGGCTGCATTTTGTGCCCACTTTCATCTCAATAGGTCCATGGATATCCCTATCTAGATTTACTGGCTTATAGTAGCGCCATCCAAAGAAGCCTCTTGACAAGCCACTGACTTCGCATGTTTTCAAATTAAACAACTTGATCTCTACATTAATCTGACTCTCCTACACGGTCGATCCACTTCATCAGAGCTCGACTCAATTCTACCTCTGTGAAGGCTTTTTTATTCCAGGACAGACTATCTACTCTGGCCAGTCAGTGCTCATTCAGTGACCGCCACAATGATCCAGCACATCCTCTGCCTACCATCTTCATCAATCCCTCTCATCCCTCTCACTCAACTACATATGAGACCTCTCCAGGTCTGGTTTCTTAACATTGTTCAATACCAGGACCAGACCTCATTCCACCAGACTCCACATCTCTTGTCAAATTCCCCCCACAAGACCCCCATCTCACCATAACCACACATGCCTCCCTTCTCAGTCAGAGAGCCCATTGTGGTCATTCTACCATCCAGGCCAGATGGAGTCCTCACAAGGCCTCACATCAGCTTTCTAGAGCTCCTGGCTGTAAAGAAAGCCCTTGTTGCCTTCCAAGCCATTATCCCATACCATCACATAGAGATCATTATAGGCAACACAACAGTGATTGCCTATATAAACAAACAGGGTGGGACCAGGTCAAGCCGCCTCACTTCTCCTGCCACCAAGATCTGGCACAGGTGTACCACTTGCCATACCATGATGGTCACTATTTATGTTGTGACCAGCGATGTCTTAATGGACTCTCTAAGCAGAACTTTCACCCAATATCACGAGTGGGAGCTGCACCCTTCTGTGATTTCTCTGGGACCAATGGGGTGTCCCCCAAGTGGACCCATTTGCTACTCAGTACAGCACTGTTTGCACCCACTTCTGCTCAAGAGCGGGGAGAGGCACCTGATCACTGGGGATGCCTTTCTCCTGTTCTGAAATGGCAACCCATTCTACCTCTTCCCTCCATTTTCCTTATTTCCAGAAGTCCTCAGGAAGCTCTATCGAGATCTCATGGACTCCATCCTGGTGGCCCAGAAAACACTGCTTTCCCCCATCTGCTAGACTTCTCTAAAGGATTTTCATTCATCTTCCAACCCATCCTGATCTTCTCTCTCAAGATTGGGGGAACAGTTCTCCATCCCAGCGTAAACACCCTCAAGCTAACCGCATGAAGAATTCACCCATGTCCCCATCACTAATGAACATCCCCCCCAACTTGCAGCACATTCTAGATGCCTCCCTCGAGCCTCTTGCAAATTGAAGAATGCCAAGTGGACGGCATTTTCTGCAGTTGAACAACCGCATGGTTTCTCTCCAGTTACAGCTTCTCCTGTCCAGATCGTTCTCAACTCCTGATATAAACTAGGTCTCACCTCTTGCTCCATCTGTGTTTATACAGCTGCTATCTCAGCTTTCCATACTCGGATCCAAGACTGATCGACTTTCTCCCATTCTCTCATTCAAAAATTCCTCAAGGGCATCTTTAATGTAGCCCCACCTGTCAGACAAACTGCTCTGTCCTGGAGCCTTTCTGTTGTCCCTCATGCTCTCACCAAGCCTTTGTTTGAACCTAAGGCATTGACAGATCTCTGCCTCCTCTCTTGGAAAACTGCCTTCTTGATGGACCTTACATCTGCCCATCAAGCCAGTGAACTCACTGCTCTTCAAATAGACCCTTATATCACCTTTCATAAGGACAAGGTTGTATCGCACCCTGACCTAATCTTCCTACCTAAAAATGCCTTCCTTCCATATCCAGAAGACCATTGTCCTACCGGCTTTCTTTCAGAATCCTTCTAACCCCATGGAGATGACCCTCCATTCTCTAGATGTCCACAGGGCATTAACTTTCTACAAATTTAGGACTCAATCCAACAATCACAGAGACTCTTCATTGCATATGGTGGCTAATACCATGGAATGCTTATTTCCCCCCAGAAGCTCTCTAAATGGATACTCCACACTGGCCTATGAACTCTCTGATTTCCCTCTGTTTGGCTTCATTAGAGCACATTCTACCAGAGCTACTTCAGCCTCCATGACCTTATAGTCAGGAGTGTCTCTCACCATTCCCTATAGAGTGGTGTTACAGTCAAATACCTCAACCTTCATTCGCCATTATCTTGATGTTTGAGCTAGAGAGGACTGCGCATTCAGCAGAACTGTCCTCTCCTGTCTACTCCACTGAGTGACATCGTCCTCCATAAGGTAAACTTGCCAGTCTGTGCATGTGTGATGCACAGAGACCACAACAAATAAAGGCAGGTTTCCTTACCTGAAACTGTCATTCTGTGAGTGGTCATCTTTGCATTCACACATACCCACCTATCATCCCCACAGGTGTCATATACATATTTCTGACATCGCGTTGACACGTCTCCTGTTCAGACATTCATTTATGTGGCAGTCTAACGTTCACAACTGAGATCTTGGCAGGAGCCCCACCTTGACACTAGGTGTGTCTGTGGGCCAGTCTCCACAGACACACCTTACAGATTACTTACTGATTGAGTAATCAGTCAGCTTTGGAAACTTCTCGAAACCGCTCCACAAAGAGCTCACATGTGTGAACGCACAGATGACCACTTGGAGAATGACAGTTACTGGCAAGGAAACATGCCTATTCAAAGCAGAACTTTTATCATCTCATACATAAGATCTCTGCATGAGGCACCTTAATGATGCTAGTGACTCATGACCTGAAGACTCTGTTTCAGAGATTACATTACAATCTAATGGTGTACACGGGAGTTGGTCAACCCAGAAGGTTGCTCTGAATAATATGAATATGCACATGCGTGTTCATTCCGACATTACAGCCAGGAACATAGAAAGCACTGTGTACACTCAAGTTTTCCCTTGTCGTCTTGAACGTGGTCATAGGAATAGACTTAGCTCTGTGGGCCTTCAAGAAGAAAGGGTTGGTGCTTGGAAGTTCCTGAACTTGGACAGGCAATGTAGAATGGATTTCTGAACATACACACTGTATTTATTCCAATATTTCAGTCTTCAAGGCGGCACACTGCACTGAGATCCCCTGCCAGCACTGAAAATGTGCCCAGCTGGAGCTCAGAGTAGAAGTGCAGAATTGTACCTGAATGTACAATCGCAATGCCTGACAGAGCACCTTGCCTGATCTGACCCAGGCACTACAATCACTACCTGAAGACTTCTTTCAAGTGCCACCTGTGAGGGAGGCTCAGAGGGTAATAACAAGAGTATGACATGTTTTTCCCTCCTTGCTCTTGCACAGGTACGAAGATGCCCTAGTTCTACTGCTGACAGAGGTATTGAATAGAATACAATTCAGGTACAACCAGGCCCAATTAGAAGAACTGGATGATGAGACGCTGGATGATGATGTAAGAAACAGAGACCCCCGTAGGTCTAAGATTTAGTTTGTCTCATTGGGGAGCAACTTCAGACAGCCCTGAGACTAATTTTTAGCTCTTGGTCCCCCTGTGCACAGCATTCCATGTGTCCAAACCACTACCATAGAAAGTCCAGCTTTAGCTGGGAAGCAAGCCAAATTTGGCCTTCCTTAGGCTCTGTAACAATGTTGGCAAACTCGTGGTGGTGGTAGTTATTTTTGCCAGCACCAAATTGAGTGACCGGAACCACAGAGCAAGACAGAGGGTTCCATTCTCTTTCCACAGCCTGAACTGTAGATTGAGACAACTACACACTACAATTCCATGTTGTGCAATCTAAATGCATGTGCAAAGTCAAGCAATTACATTGCTGAAATATTTAGAACAAGATTCTGATGCTGATCTGTTGACCTCTTTGCATCATGCTCCCAGGCCTGCAAGCTTGTAAATTTTGTCTGTTGCTGTCTTGGAAGTTTCTGAGGTCATTTCTACATTCTCCTGTACAAGGAAAGGAAGATCTGCAAATAGAAATTTAGCACAATGGGGTGCATAGCAGGTTAGGAATTTTCTTCCATCTATGCTAGTTCTGGACTTAGAGGGAGTTTTGGTGGAGTGGTGAGCAGTGAGGATTCAAAACTAGCATTGTCCACCCAGATTCTCAAGTTGTACAATCCACTGTATTATTTCAGGACGTTGTCACCCCATTTTGCTGCATGTGGAGATCTGGTCAAGCATTATAGTCATTTGAAGAATGTAAAATAGCTGATCCTGGTATTTTTTCCTCCAGCAACAGACGGAGTGGCAGCGGTACTTACGCCAGAGCTTGGAAGTAGTGGCCAAAGTTATGGAGCTGCTGCCAACACACGCCTTCTCTACCCTGGTAAGGAGGCAGCACAATCTTTTGCTCTCTCTGTTCCCAAGAGCTTCAGAGCCACTTCACTGCTGCTTCTCAGACCTGCTTTGTGATCTAAGGTGGCATAGGAGTGAGAAGAAACTGGCTAGGTTCCCTGAAAGAGAAAACAGGGTTGTGAGTTCCCTCAGAATTACCGTTGCCCCATATTAAGCATCATCTCAGATAGCAGACTTTGGGAAGAGATGTGCGAATCTGTGGCATACACGGCGGAACACAGTCCTTTCTGGTCTGGAATGGAGACGTGTGAAATGTAGACCCTCTAGAGCAGTGGTTTTCAACCTTTTTACAGTTGGGGACCAGCAAAAATAGGAAATTATTTTGGAGACTGCTGAGGCAGAAATAGAAAGCATTATGAAAGCATAATACAGTATTTTGTGTGTTAGTTTTTTAATATAATACCAACAAAGAAAATTCTCTAAAAGAACCAGAAACTGAGCAATAAAAATGCTAATAAAAGAATGAAATATTGAAATTAAATGTAATTGAATGCAACTTACATTTTTAGAGATCAATATTTAATTCAAATAAGGCTACTGCAAAATCTGCTGTTGCTTCTTTTCAAGAATACTTGATCTAAAATTTACAACAGTAAAATGCAAAATCAATATAAATGCAATACTATACCCATAGCAAATATAAATTCAAATACAATATTAACAACAGAGCAATACAAAATCAAACAAAGTTACTTAAAACAATACTATCCATAATGTTAAATACTGAAATACAATGAACATCATCCACTCAAACCCCCATACACACCAGCACAGATTGGCAGAGAAAACACACTCGGTGCAACCATGCCTCAGTATTTCCCTTACCAGCAGAAAACACAGCAGAGAAAGGCCCCAGAGGGCAGACCGGCACAGCGCGGCTCCCCTTGAGTGGTCTTTCCCCTCCCCGGCCTCCTCAGCGGAGGAAGAGTCAGGGAATCTACAGGGGGAGAGCACAGCTAGCCCCTGCGCTAGTCTTCAGCAAGCAGGATGCGGCTGTCATGCGCACAGACGACAGCAGCTCTTTCACAGAGCGGCAGGAAATGCCAGCAGATCAGCAGTTGAAACACGCTGCTCTAGGGGATAGTACTGAAGATGAGTATTACTTCAGGCCCATCTTTTGTCAGGCACGTGACTCACATTCAGATACGTGAGGGAATGAAGACACTGTGGTTGGACTCAGGATCGGCATACGCTATGCAGAGTGGCTTTCTTTGGCCCCAGACAGAGACAGGGCTAGGCTTTGAAATCTATTGTGAGCAGCAGCAGGGAGATGTTCTACCTGGTCTTCCCCATGGAGCCCAGGGACTGTTGCACACAGCACCAAGCTTTCAGACTTGGTTTCCTTTCATTTCGGTGCCCATGAAACCCGTTAAGAGAGAAATTGATCTTAGGCCCAGATTTGAAACCACAGGATCGTTTCATTTCCACAGTAATTGAAACTTTCGTGTTTATGGTTTGCATCTTCAGTTTCCAGTTCTCCAAGAGAATTTGGATGTATACCTGGGACTCCAACAGTTCGTAGTCACTTCTGGGAATGGTAAGATGAACTTCCTTTAACTAAAAGTTCAGAAATATGTGCTGTTTAATCTGTATTTCTGTAGTGCTGTACTGATCCACTTGATTGGTGGTTTATTTAAAACATTGCTAACCTGCTCTATAACCTGGAGCAGTTTACTTACTGTCAGTAAAAACAAGACAGTCCATGCCTACAGGTTTATGATTTAAAAAGTTATGACACATTAAAAAAAAGATGGAGAAGAATGAAGAAAAAAGCAAGTCCTCTTTTTTATTTATTAGATTTATATCCCATTTTTACACTGAACTCAAAATATATCATTCTCTTCCTCCTCCTACTCTCAGTCTTATCCCCACAACAACAGTTCTGTGAGGTAGGTTGGGCTGAGAGTCTCTGACTGGCCCAGAGTCACCCAGTTGGCTCCATGGCTGAGCAGGGACTCGAACCCAGGTCATCTGAGTCCCAGTCCCGTGCTCTTAAGCACTACACCACACTAAACTGCCCTTTAACATAATTCTCAGGGAGGTTTACAGTAAAATTCAGTTTAAAATACCTTTAAGCCAAGATGAGTATAACAACTACAGTGAGAAGCCTCAAGCAGCATAAAACAGTAACAACGCACTTTGCCTGGTCCTGCAAAGATGTACCCCCTGGAAGAAAGCATTTCCGAACTGGAGCAGGCACCCAGTGGCCATCCACTTTGCCTCAGAGGATGAGGGCAAAGCCTGAAGGTCTTCTACTGAAGAACTTAATAGTTCATGAAGGAACATATGAAGATAAGCGATCCTTCAGGTCCTAGGTTGGGAAGGGTTGTGTAGATCAAAACCAGCATGTTAAAACCAGCTTGGAAATGGACCATTAAATATTATCACACAGTGTTTCAATATAACTTGTTGCATATTAACTTGTTTCTAATAACCCTGGTAAAGAGCATACTCGCTTGAAACAGAATTTTATACCTCTGATTGGATGGGCATGGAAGAAGACCTCCGAATAATGAAAATGAAAACTATTCTCTTCAGCAGTGCTGCATTCTTAAATTAGACCTCTTAAAGACTGCAACATTCAATATTTGAACTGTGACCTCCAAGGCAGCTAATGCATTTAATGTAATTACAGTAAATGCTTCATTTCCTGGTAAACTAGTACCATGATTAGATTTTTCCAAATGCTTTGTGTGTTACAAGGTTATGGCTATGTATATGCTTTGTATTTAAATACTGTCAAGTGTTTATGCGTCAAGGATTGGAGATGTCAAATGAACCTAACTGTCCAGTTAACAGAAGTGCTTGCATTCTAGTCTTTCCTTGCAAATATTGTATATTGAGGGGCTCGGATTGTCCTTGCAGGTCACAGGCTGAACATCACCGCTGAGAATGACTGTCGGCGCTTGCACTGCTCTTTGCGAGACCTCAGTTCCTTGCTCCAGGCCGTTGGCCGGCTAGCTGAGTACTTCACTGGGGACATGTTTGCTGTCAGATTCAGTGATGCTCATACCATTGTGGAGAGGTAGGAGACAAGATGCCTTGAGGTGGCGGCGGCGGCAGCGATAGATTCTGCGTCAGGTCTGTCAAGTGTGCTGCCGCGCCGAGCTCCCAGCTGGTGCTTCTGCCCTAGTCTTGGTCTTTCTTTACACTCCTGAGCGCACATTACTTACTTTGATGTTGCCATCATTACTAGTTACAGGTCTATTCCACCCAACAGCCACAGCAGTTCACGACAACTTGCCACTATAAAAGACAGCATCAAATGCAGTATAAAGATTAAAATGGTTAAATATAAATAATAACCAGAGTAAAATCCAATAGCAGTACAAAGATTTAAGATAAAGTAAAGGATTTAAAACAGACAGCAACTAAACACCAGATGGCATTCACCAGCCCCCGGAAAGAGTGCAGTATGGGTGCCCGGTGAGCCTCGCTGTGAAGCTCATCCCTGCAATGGGATGAGCTGCTCTGCACACACAGCAGAAAATGCCCTCTTCTTCATAGCTACCCACCTGACGTCCTTTGGCATAGGATGCTGCAGAAGGACTACCGAGGATGATTTTAGGCTCTTGGCTGCTATATGTGGAAGGAGGTGATCCTTCAGGTAACCTGGCCCTGAGCAATTTAGGGCTTTGGACCTTAATACTAGCACTCTGAATTGGGCCTAGCATAACAAAATACTGGCTTAAAATGATTATGCTGGCCAGTCCCAGTGAGCAGTCTTGATGTTCTGTTGCAGACCATTGGAAGCATCTGGGTTGCTTTGCAAAGCAATCCCATGTACACACACTTCAGTAATCCAGCTGAGGGCTTACCAGAGCATGGAGAACGGGCTGGGCTATCCCTGTCCAAATAAGGACATGGCTGTGAAATCAGCCTAAACTCATGTGCACATACGTTACACCATAAAGGAATGTGTGGATTGTGCTGTCAGTTAGGGAAAGGGATTAAGATAATGATGAGGGGAGTGGAAGCAGAAGGCCTGAGCGTGTGCCACTTGAAGAGGTTTAGCATCCTTTATGAGGCTTTTGACATGTCTGCCCAAATCAAAATCATTGGGCTGCTTATTTGATAGGAAGTCCAGGATTTGATTTGTTTAGAACACTGGCTTCCCTTCCCTTCCCTTCCCTTCCCTTCCCTTCCCTTCCCTTCCCTTCCCTTCCCTTCCCTTCCCTTCCCTTCCTTTCCTTTCCTTTCCTTTCCTTTCCAAGCTCGAAGTGGCTACCAACAACATGTTTTTGAAAGCAGCAGAACATAAGCATGGTTAATTAGGCCCATGAGGGGATATAGATGACTGATGTCTAAATGGTACGGCTGCACATGTGAAAGCGTTGGCCTAAGTGGACATGGAGCATGGGAGCTCTGCTTCATGGTTTTGCACTTGCATTGTCTTTAAATGGACGAAATGGGATTTCTGTTCGGGTCCTCTTCCTCCTGCTCCCTCTTATCACTGAGCTGATGCTAAAGCTAGCAGAGTATCCTGTATATCCAGGACTCTGCTTGAATTGCATCCATCTTCCTTTCCTCTAACCTCTTCTCCAACAGGCTGGTCAAGGTAACACTGTACGGGTCCCAGATTAAACTCTACAACATTGAAACTGCTGTGCCATCTGTGCTGAAACCTGATCTTATTGAAGTGTGAGTATAAGTGTTAGAAAGATACCAGCAATCTTCCACTGGAATCTGGACCCTCTCTGAAACTAATAGTTGTCTGTCTGCAATGGAATTCCTTAGAGTTTTCCCCCCTGCTGTTCTTGTTGCGACAGAAGTTGCTAAAAGCATTTGCAGATCAGAAAACCAAAGGGACTTGACAGCATTGAAGTCGCACCAGGGCACCACCAGACTGACCGTCCTGGTGAGGCTCAGGATCCCAGCAGCAAACATGTTCCCTAGGCTTTGCTTCTTGAGATCCTCCATGCACTTTGGAGGTTTCCCCTGGTTATGCTTTTGCAGTCTTTGCATGCTGCACCTCAGTTACCACTTACAATGACTTAGAAACAGAACGAGTCAGAAGGGGCCTCCCGGGCCATCTGGTCTGACCCCCGGCTCCAGCCGGCTCCACTCACGACCTCACCTCCACCTCTGGATGCTTCTCTTCTGGGTTTCCATAGGCCCAACCATAATGGATAGTCACCTTTTCCTTATGTACCTGAAGTCCTTCCTTAGTATTGCTTTCTCTCCAGTGATACAGCTACCTCAGTTGAGCTATGTCATGGATTGCTCATTGCCTGACCTCAGCCAGTCAAGCTCCTGTTTTGCCTAACCCCACCTGTAGAAGGTTTCAAATCCTTTTTTGCACTGTACCAGCTGATAGAGATGAACCAAATAAATTGTCTCCTTGATAAATAAAGCAAATGCATACTGGAAAAATTCATATTGGAGAGGTGCATTCCATTGACACAAAGGTTGGTCTCTCTTGGTGGTGGTGATTTGCAGGAGAAAACTCCAAAGGCTCAGCCTACCTGTTGGTCCCCACCTCCACATCCAGGTGTTCTGTCCCATCTCCTCATAGTGCTTCTTGCTACCTGGTGTCCTTTCAGAATTTAATAGCATGAAGGACTAATGGCCCCATTTGCCCTTCTTCCTTTCCCTTGAATTTAAATTGAAGAAGCTTTCTCTCTCCAGGCATGCACAATCCCTGGCCGCCCTGCAAGCTTACTGCCACTGGCTAGCACAGTTCTACGGGGAAGTTCATCAACAAAATCCAACAGAGTTTGTCTCGCTTGTCTCCACCGCCCTGGAAGCGATTACTCCGCTAATCAATTCTAAGGTATCTTCACTCAAATAGAATCTGCCTTAAACCCTAACCCTCTTTCCCCTGGTCATGACATGTATCCAGGAGCAACTGGTGTAGCAGCTTTGCAGGACTACCACATCCATTCTGTTGCTTGACACATGTATAATAAGAAACTGCCAGTAGCAACATGTTGGATTGGGCGAGAACAAAGGGCTGCCATTTTGCTGGAGCCTGGGGTTGTTGCTTCTTCAGTTTCTGGTTTTGCTGTGAGCAGACAGGGTCGGTAAGCTTAGTCAATGACACTGCTGGAATTTCAAAGTTGCAGGCGCTCCCTGTAATCTTGAGCTGTAGTCTTGGACCGATGAGTAAGTTTCTCTGATAGGTTGTTTGATTATGAGAGTTTGGCTACCCATTCTGAAGAAGCAGGTCCTAAATGAAGGGGTTCTAAAAACTAATACTGCCTTCAGATGTCCATCCTTGGACCAACATATTAGTCATAAAAATTGCTCACTCTTAAATACCTTTATTTTCTGGATCTTTCTTTTGTTCAGTTAGAGCAGAGGTTGAAGGACTCACCCATCCTTTTTTTGTTTCCCCACCACCCCCCTGCTTTTCCTAGGTACAAGAGAAGTTGCTGCTGTCGGCCTGCCACCTGCTTGTCTCCTTGGCTACCACAGTACGGCCTGTGTTTCTGATTAGCATCCCAGCTGTGCAAAAAATGTTCAACAGGATCACAGATACCTCTAATCAACGGCTTCCTGATAAGGTAAGGTATGCCTCCCTGAGCCAGTTGTCATTACATTGGTTCTGATGGGGGAAGTAGCTAGAGGACGCTTGAATTAGTGGCATTCTTGTGCAAGCCTGAGGCCTGGCAGGCTCTGGCGGCACCATGGCCTGAGCATCATGAAGGACCAAAGAAAGGAGGCATCGAGAAGGTTAGCACAACAGAGCTTGTGCCACAGCATGAGAAGAAATTATGAACAGCTTTCGTCACTTTGTTCATTTTTTTCATATTCATAGAGGAGGCATAAGTAGGCACTGTGAACTATGAAGTCAGGTTTGCATGTTAGGAAAAGGGCTACTAACAGCTTAATATCATGTTTCATAGATGCTTGTGGAACCCTGGAGCCAAGCAGTGCTCAAAGTGGGTTTTTTAAAAAGACATGCTAAGAATAAATTTGATAAGTAGTACAAAATACCCTCATTTACGTTGCCACTCTTCAATAGCCTCAGGTAGAATGGTCGACCATTAAATATTATAATGGAGTATAGTCCTGGAAAGCTGAATTTGTTTTTTGAAAAAAGTTGTGTTCTCAGCTCCAAGCCTGTAGAGGAGAGAAATGAAAAGATGTGCAGGTGGATTCCACTTTGCTTGGAAACCGGAGGGTTAGTAGTTAGCTCCAGGCCTTCCAATGTAATCATCTTGATTGTCCAAGCTGAGGTTTAGAGGGACTGTGTGACTCAGGAAAAGCTGGTGTGCTGCAACTTCTAAAGGTCAAATTCCTGCAAACCTGAACTCCTTGGGCTGCATCATCTGCCATGGCCAGTGGCGGCTGCATTCAGCCCGTGGGCCACATGTTGCTTGCTCATGACATGGGGAGTAGGGAGGAGAGGCTGAACACAGAGTCTGTGCCAGCGTCTCTGTGTGCCTTTTGGGCTCCTCCGTGTACTAGGCGTCCTAGCTGGCCCTTCTTGAGCGTTTTAAACCCAGTTGAACCAAGAGCTGCCCCGAAGACACACACGGAGTCCCTTAACATTAAGAACAAAATCATCCTACTAACTGACATAGATCTTTTTTCCTGGCAGAATGGTCACTTCAGTACAAAATAAAATCCTTCCTGTCTGTATAAGACTGTTGCTCTGTACTTTGTTTCACCCAAAGATTCAGCCAACGCTGATCCCTGTTTGCATGTCTTTGTGACTCTGCAGAAATGTGAATCGTTTGGATCATTAGAAGCACGTGCACAGGATTTTTCTCCAAATAGATGAAACTGGAGTAGCTAGTTTAGCTAATTGAAACCCGTTTGTTCCATATTCACTCTTACTAATCCAGTTCAGAATTGCATCCCATGCACTGGCATAAAAAGCCTGCTCCCCCCCCCGCCCCTTTTGTTTTGCTCTTCAACTAACCTGATTGGATACAGAAGGGCATTATCTAGTCTTCATTAACTGACTTAGCATTTGTGCTCCAAGGATCTGGGTCTAACTAGGTGCCTCTGTAACCAGCCTGTGTGTTAGAGCATGGGTTGCCATGGACAGAGGTGGAGCATGTGTGTCATGACGTGTGGATTCCCTGGGCAAGCTGGCCCACTCCTAACACTGAGCCTGGACTCAGGGGTTTGGAAGTGAGCTCCCAGCCTGAAGGTGTTTGGCAGAGGGAAGCAATCAGTATCCCTTTTCTGCCCACCTTTACCTTTCTCAGGTCACACCAGCCACCAGATTGTACCTCACAGGGGCAGCCCACATGCCATCGCATGGCTTGTGTGGCTGCCATGCCTACTTACATCCAAACCGGCCTTCCACTTGCTGCTGTTATGCCAAGTCCAGCTTTCAGCGGAAGCCCTTTGGCCCTGCTGTTCATGGTGGCCACATGGTAGTGGAATGGCAGACCTGCCTGTTGCCAGCCTCCTCCCACCAGCCTTCAGAGCTGTTCTCGGTGTGCTCAGCCTTTTCCCCGCTCCTCGTTGAATTTGCGCTTTAGCGTGTCGATTTTATTCCCTGCAGGCTCAGATACTCGTGTGCAGAGCGCTCTCAAACATCCTGCTGCTGCCATGGCCAAACCTCCCCGAGACTGAACAGCAGTGGGCCATTCGCTCAACTAACCATGCCAGCTTAATCTCTGCCCTCGCCAGGGATTACCGCAGCCTGAAATCCAGTGCCATCTTGCCCCAGAGGAAAATGCAGCAGGATGATAGTAAGTCTCCCCAGCTACAGGCCTCTGCTAGCAGCTGCTCTGCAGGCACTCAGTAGCCCTGCCTGAGGGACTGGGACGGTTAGCAGCTGGCCCAGCATGCTGGCCTTTGTAGGCGTGGATTGGGACCACAAGTTCCAGGACACAGCTGCTCAGCATAGCCGCTTCTTACATCCTCACACTTGATTGGTGATTAACCCTTACTTACCGCCTACAAGTAACACTAAGATCTTGACATCCTCCTTGGGTGCAGTGGGGTTGCTAGGAGTTATTAGGACCTGCCTCAGATTCTTTTTGCTGCAATCTAGAAACTGCTTGTGGTGCACCAAGTAGGTGAAGTGCATCTCCCAGCCTACATGCTGCTGTTGTAGGACCCATTATGGTACTGTCTCTGTGTTTTCCCAGAGAATTACTTTATCTTCCTATAAAACCATGGAGTGTCTGGGGTTCTGAAGGAGATGGTGCAACTGGCAAATATCAGTGGAATTTCCAGGTTCTCAAGTGTGTGTGTGTGTGTGTGTGTGTGTGTAAAATCAGGAGAGTTCAATTTATAGTTTAAATGAATCCAGTCCTTAGTGAAAAGTGACACATGCAAGAAGTTACAATTTCCAGACAAGTAGCCATGTTACTCTATTGCAGCAAAAATAAGGAAGGGAGTCTTCCTAGCTCCTTAAAGACTAACAGCTTCATTCTGGCACAGTCTTTGGGGACTGCAGCCCAGCTGCATCAGCTGCATGCAGTATTATGAGGAGCTTCAGGTTCGTATAAAGTACAATACATACTTGCCATCTGGGACTATTGGGTGAGGTTTAATAAATCAAATAAATAAATATACCTACTGTAATCAGCAAGAAATTAATTCTTTTTTCCTCCTCCTCCCCGACAATAAATTAACTCTCTGGGTTCTATGAGAGGAAGGGCAGCCACAAATGTAAAAAGAAGGAAACCCTCCATAATGCTCCCAGCAGCTAATGCAGAGTCCACAACGGCGTGTGCCCGAATGAATAGGTTCTCCTTACATGAAAGGCGATGGAGGGGGGAGGGGCTGACAGATTTGGCGCAGATACTCTTTGCTTGGCCAATAGGATGCTCTTTCCTTGAATCAGAGAAAAGCACATTCAAAGAATACACATTCCTGGGCAGTCGGATTTTTATCGCTACATATTTCTGCTGGCTGACCTAAAGTGCTGTCCTAAATGTTTGAAATCCTCTCCCTGATTGTTGTTTATACTGGGGATGTAAAATGAGAATTTCATGGGAAAGAAGAATTAGGAGATAATGCAGCATCCCCTGGAATGCAGTAGGAGCATCCAGACATCATAATGCCGACTAGCTCAAAAGCTCCTGGGGCATTGCACAATGGCTCCTGCTTGTATGAGAGAAGTGAGACACTCAGCCAAGCTATGTGAAATGTGTAAGCGTGTGCACGTGTGCCTTTAATGATCACTAATACAGACCATCAAAGATTACTAATTGTAGCTTTGATGTTTAGAACCACGCAGATACCGGACCTCGTTGGTTTAAGTGCCCAAGGAGGGCACTTGTGCTCTGGCCATTGCAGCAGTTGTACAGCCTTGCGCAGCATTTCCCAGACTTCTGGAGCCTGAGGCATGCTGCTCCTGCGCTTGAAACTGAGCGCAAACTTCCTTTTTACACAAAGCTAGCGAAGAAGTTAGCGCTAGCCGTTTTCAGGGTGTGTAGTTGTTCTTGGAAAGATGGGGCAGTCTGACGGGCTGCAACAGGTGGCTGGGAGGGACCAAGGACAGGGCAATAAACCGTGGAGACACCGTGGGCAACCTCTTCTGGGCTGAGAGTCCTGGGCTCACGGTAGCCTTTGCCTCCCGTGGAGCCCTCACTGTTCACAAGCAACAGCTGGGGAATTTCACTGTCCCACCTCTACCTCTTCCTGCTTTTGCGGCAACCAGAACCCCAAGGGCAAATGTTGAATGTACCTTTTTGATTTTGCAGCTAAAGTTATTATCCATCAGACACTTAGTGTCTTGGAAGATATCGTGGAGAGCATCTCTGGAGAAGCCACCAAGTCCCGTCAGATCTGCTACCAGTCGCTGCAGGAGTCTGTGCAGGTCTCACTTGCCCTCTTCCCAGCTTTCATTCACCAGTCAGGTATAACAGCAGGTCCATCCTCACTGGCACGAGTAATTCATAAACTCTTGAGTTCAGGACTCCTGTGGGATTGAACTGCCCCCTCCCCCGGTCCTGTCAAGACTCCCCCAAGTGCTGCCCTGCACTCAGCCCCTCTCAGCAAGAGATCCTGAGAGACTAAGTCGCTCCCTGGGCTGCCACGTCACCCACATGCACCCATCCGGTGCACTGAGCATATTCATAAGTGGTCCAGACGGGGGCCTGCATGTCACTGGGCAGGCTCGGCTTCTGAGCCTCTTCCATACTGAGGGAAAAGGGAGACCCTCTTGAATGCCTGCAGAGCAGAGGAGTCAAACATGCAGCTTTCTTGTGTTGCATGTGCCAGCTACCAGAATCCGTTGACCGTGATCTGCTCTTGCTTGTTTCATCAGGTGGAAACAGGTAGAATTTATAGCCCTGTGCCTTTCCTTGAGACGTGGAGAGCAAGCTCTCTGTTGTACAGTCTGTTGTACAGTCTCCTTTCAGACCTCGATGGCAGCACAAAAAAAGGAAAGCAGGTCATTTAATTTTGAACAAAAAATACATTCTGCGGAATCAATTTATGTATTTACATTTAAAACTGTCTTTGTGTATTTGCATTTATATCACACCCTGGAGACCACAGAGTTGGAGCCAACAAACAAGTGGCTTGAGCCAGCGAACATAGCTGCGTACATTTCCAGATATCACATCCAGTATCAACAGTCATTTGTATATAATGATATACAACCCTAACCCTTCTCCGTAGACAAAAGGGATCCTTGAACACTGATAAACATCAGTAAATGAGGACAGGGTTATAATCAAAACTGTCATGATAGGAGACAGGTTGTGTCTTTCAGTAGGACTGGTGCAATTCCCTCCATGCAGCTTGTTGGATTGTTGGCCAAAGATGCAACTCTAAATTAAGTCTGCAGTGCCAACCTTTCTCACAGAGGGAGCATTGCAATCAGTAGAATTTTGGGACTGCTCCACTGTTGAGGCCCAAAGCACACTAGCTTTCTGGAAGGTCCCAGTCATTGCACGTATTGTCCGCTTGGGGTTTGTGGGTGTGTTTGTATATATGGGTCAGTGGGGGTGGGACGACTTGGTCCTCCTGTTGTTTGGCATACAGTTCCCATCAACCTAAGCTGTGCGGCCAGTGGTGAGGGATCATGGGAGTTGTAAGCCAAACATCTGGCAGGTTGTAAGTTGGCCACCTGTCATTCGTAGTCTTCGATGCAACATCTTTTATGGTCCTGTTTAAGAGACGTATTCCTTCTACTTCTTGCCTTGCCAATGCCATTGCAAGAAGCCACTACAGTTTGATATAAGTCCTTCCAAATCTAGTCTGCCGTTTGCCATGGGGCTCAGTGTGTTTTTACCCTGAAGATCCTTTGTTAGCAGCTCCCTGGCTCCTGAAAGGGGAGCTAAGACGTCGGGCCCAGGGCATTGGCTGTGTGGTGGGGAGTCTCCCTCTGAGGCCCGAGCCTCAAATAGCACAGGGGACCGCTGTCCAGGAGGAGCAGCTCATCAAAACATTGCAGCTCTGTTAATGTTTCCTCTTTTGGCTCCTCCATCTCCTTGTTTTCAGATGTGACAGACAAAATGCTGAGCTTCTTCCTCACCCTGTTTCAAGGGCTGAGGGTGCAGATGGGCATGCCTTTCACTGAGCAGGTCATACAGACTTTCCTCAACATGTTCACCAGGTAATCCGCCCCTCCCTCCATCACGTAGCTTTCAGTTTCTTTAGCGCTGAACTTCCACGGCTAATACGGTGCATAGCTCCCCTCTGAGGCAAGAGCACGGCCGGGGGGATCCACCCTTTGTCCTCTCCTTTTGCTTGGTTGCACACTCTGCCGGGGAGCTTGAGGCTTCCCTGAAGTCACTGTGCTTGTGTGTGGTGCCCTAGAGAGCAGCTGGCGGAGAGCATCCTGCATGATGGGAGCACCGGATGCCGAGTGGTGGAGAAATTCCTGAAGATCCTGCAGGTGGTGGTGCAGGAGCCGGGCCAGGCGTTCAAGCCCTTCTTGCCCAACATCATCTCTCTCTGCATGGAGCAAGTCTACCCGATCGTGGCTGAGGTAGGTCCACCTGGGTGGGGGCTGAGTGGCCGATGGAAGTCTCCAGAGGGGGGAAAGCAGAAACCTCTGCAGGGCTGCATGATAGCTTAACTCAGGCAAAGGTGTAAAGCAGGAGTGTTCCTTCCTTCCTGTGGGCCAAATGTGAAGATGCTCTCGGGATGGGGAAGCACGTTCCAGCAGGGATGGGCGAGGAGGGAACCCAGGCAGAAGTGGAGGGGTCAACATACTGGCAAGTGGTGTTCCTGCCAGCAGCTAAACCTTAGGAGAGGCATTCAATTATTGTAGAAATGTGGGAGAAAACAAGCAGAAGCCAGGAAACCACCCAGCAGGTGGTGGTCATGTGAAAGGGAACAGAGCCAGGGGAACTGCAGAGAGGCGGCTTCCCGCTCCCTTCCCGCCAGGCAGGGTGGGTGAGATTCCACACCCCTGCCCTGCCCTGCCCTGCCCTGCCCTGCCCTGCCCTGCCCTGCCCTGCCCTAAGAGCCGCGTCGTGCTGCCGGTGCACCGCTTGGCTCATGACCGACTCCATGAACTGACTCCACTGATGTCACTGATCTTGAGACCATGTCAGGCGATGGCTTACCGGTGGCTCATTTCACACACCACAAGACCAGTGGCAAGGAGCACACAGGTAGCAACCGACTTGCATCAGCATTCTAAGTGTTAGGAAAACATTGGTGCTAATACTTGTTGTGCTGCTTCTGTATGGGAAGAAGCCTATTGAATCCAAAATTCAAATAATCTGTGTTTTGAGGGTAAAATACAGTTTAAAAATCAGACTTCTTTTTGTTTTAATTAGCATACTCCTTAAAGGAGCAAGCTATTTTCCATTGGGTACTGCCTGAAATTAACTGGATAATTAGGTGCTGCTTATGCTACGTCACAAACCGTTGAACAATAATGCCCTTCTGGCCATGTACCTTGGGCTGTGTTTGACTACAAAATCCATTCAGATGAGGACGTGTTTTTTCCTTCGTCCTCAAGCGATCTTCTCCTGATGTGAAAGCAGAGCTGTTTGAGTTGCTTTTCCGAGTCCTCCATCACAACTGGCGGTACTTCTTCAAGTCCAGCGTTCTGGCCAGCGTCCAGAGAGGGGTCGTGGATGAGCAGATGGAGGACGAAGCCCAGTTCGGTGCCATTATGCAGGTACCTGAGTAGCAGTTGGCCAGTGTCGCTGTGCCCAGGCACACCTGCTGGATTAAGTGGGCTTTCCTCTGGTTCGGCAGGGTGATTGTGTGTGCTCTTAAAATGCTTCCCAGATTTTTGCCATACCGGGCAATTCGTGGACCGCTTTAATTCCACGGCACTTCTCCCTTTCTTTCCACTCTAAGTGGTGAACTCTCTGTTACCTTTTCAGCAGGACATTACAGAGAAGCCAGGTTCTTCACTGTCTTTTTCACAGTGGTTGATTCCAACCAGGTGCTTCTGGCCCTTGGCACAAGCATCTGGGTCATGGCCTTTGGAAAGAGGCTCCTGTTTAATGTTCTGCGGATGTTCTCCCACCTCCAGCCAGGCTGCCACTGAGGTCACGGTCCAGTCTCTGCCCTTCGTGGGCCATTCGCTGTTTTTGTCTCACACCCTCGGCTGGTGGTTTGAGGAAACTGGAGCAGACCTTTTCCTCTGATGCTTTGATCCTCTCCTTCTGACACCTCAATCTGTTTTGGATCAGGGCCATTGAATGAGGGCCATCTCTGCTTCTTTTGGTTGCATAGTTAGAAGACTGGTCTTTGTCCCCAGAGCCAAGGAAGTGAGATTTTACACCCAGAAAACAGCTCAGCCATGAGATGATGGACTGGCTCCTGTGCCCCCAGTGTCAACTAGCTTCCGCGTCTGCCTTCTTCAGAGCCGTTTCCCCACTGCAAAACTTAGCTGGTGCTGAAAATGCTGCAAGAGAGTTTGTCCCATGGCTTGGTTGGGCTTGGCTTACGCTAGTGCTGGGAACTCTTCATACCTTCCATGTGGCAACATTGTCATAGTTGGGGAACCGGTGCTGTGAACGCCGTGTAGAAGGAGCGTCCCCAAGTGAGCCCAGGAGCTGCCTGGGAAGAGGAGCAACTGGCACTTCTATCCCATGCTTCCTGGCACTTGCTCAGAAACCAAATGGGGAACGCACCCATTGTCTCAGTGTGGCTGTCCTGCGTAAGGGAGTGCCCTGGCAAAGGACTGGCCTTTTGCTCCTAAGGACCGAGGCGTAAAACATTGGATGGATAGGCTTAATCCACAAAGCCTTGCGCTGCAGTAAATCTGGTTTAGTCCTACAGTGCCGCAAGACTTTTAACTGTGTGAGTGAAGGCAGCCTTGCCTGAAGGGCCTTGCTCCTCAGGGGGCAGCCCTTGGAGGAGACGCCAGGTTTTTCAAGCCTCTGCCTTCACTCTGTATCACTGTAGCTAAAAGAGTTGCAGCAGCAGCAGCCGCAGCTGCCACCACATTTCCAGGTTTTTTGCAGAGTGGACTTGTCTCACCCATCCTCCATGTTTTCTTGCAAGGGTGGTGGCATCTGCCGTGAGGATGGGGGAGTGGGGTTCTCTGGGGCCATGCTTGGGTATGTTTGGCTGCGTCACTCTGCCTGCCTGCATTGCGTGGCATGTTTGGAGCCAGCTTTCAGTCCCGGAGGACAGCTGGTCTAAGAGGCTCTCCTGTTCTGCAGGCCTTTGGCCAGTCTTTCCTGCAACCAGACATACACCTCTTCAAGCAGAACCTCTTGTATTTGGAGACTCTGAACGCAAAGCAGAAGCTGTACCACAAGGTAAGCCCCCACACTTCAGCTAATTTGGAAGAAGGGTATAATGCATGTAAGAAACTACTGAGAGAAGAGGGGCACAGCAGATGCTGAAGGCGAGAGGCTCCTGTTTTCCGTATTTGCTGTTGTCCACACACCACTGTGCTCTCATGGGTGGCCAATTACTTACTGGCAGGGCATGTCTGACTTGTATGCTCCCCTCCATGCTGACTACTGAATTGTCTGTGGGAGGAGCAGGCCCAAAAGTCTGACAAAATAGGGGTAGTGATACTATTTCGTTTTGTGAGGTGGCATATGGGAAGAGCTGCATTTCTGCCTGGGTGGAGTGCTGCTGCTTCCACAGCTGCCCTCTGACAGTTACGGCTCGCACAGGCTTTGGGCTGTGGCTGAGCCCACAAGAACCCCAGTGGTCCAGAGGGTCGGCATTCAGTGAGACTCGGGCATGCTCTGTCAGCACAGCAGGCCTATCCAGGTTTGCACCTCAGGTCCAACTTCACTGCAAGAGCTGGCCATTCTAAATCTTGCGTGAGATTGCTAAAGCAGATGTGCTCTGCTGTGGTGTAGGTATCAGTCTCTGGTAGCTCTCCATGCAAATGCTTATCTCCACATCCCTGACATTGAACTGGCACTGCACTGGGTCAGAGAGGTGAAGCATAATTCACAGAACCCTGGAGAGAGGTCTGGAGGCAGTGCTTGGCTGGAAGATCCTAGTAAGGGCAGGTTGGGCTGTATATCTTTAGTTCTCCTGTCACAGAGCATACTGAGAGATGGTTCCTTTCTCTGCAGAAAATCTTCCGGACAGCCATGCTCTTTCAGTTTGTGAATGTGCTGCTTCAGGTATTGGTACATAAATCACATGACCTCCTACAAGAGGAAATTGGTATCGCCATCTACAACATGGCCTCTGTGGACTTTGATAGCTTCTACACAGCCTTTCTCCCGGGATTCTTGGCCAGCTGTGATGGTGTGGACACCAACCAGAAAAGTGTTCTCGGAAGGAACTTCAAAATGGACAGGGTAAGGTTGGGCTGACACTTCGCGAGAGAGTCCCTCTGCAGGTTGACTGGCGCACCTCTCCCAAGCCCAGAACCACTTTGCCGGCAGAGTTGGAGGGGCCTTCCCCCTTCCGTGCCCTGTCTCTGTCGAAGTCATTTCACCTCCACCTGTGCACTGACACGCATATGTTCAGTGTACCTATGTTTTCCTTTATGAAATGGAACACCTGAGTAGATTGGTGTGAACCAGAGAGCCAGTGTGGCGTAGTGGTCAAGAGCGTGGGACTGGGACTCAGACGACCTGGGTTCTAGTCCCCGCTCGGCCATGGAGCCAACTGGGTGACTTTGGGCAGTCACAGACTCTCAGCCCAACCCACCTCACAGGGTGGTTGTTGTTGTGGGGATAAGACGGAGGAGGAGAATGATGTAAGCTGCCTTGAGCCCTTAGTAGGAAAAAAGCAGGATATAAATCGAAAAATAAATAAATAAAAATTAGTTGGGATAGAATTTCAGAAGTGTTTAACTTTTAATCAGTGTACTTTTGAAAGAGAATAAACATTTCTTTGGAACTCTTGCCCCATTTGCCCAAAAGTCTAGAGGTCCAGTGAAAGAGGGAAGGAAGCCCTCAACAAGTTTCCATGCAAAACCTCATTTTGCATCCTGCTGTGCCCTCATATGGCTTCATCCTGACACCTGGGGTGATGCCTGTTTTGTTTCGGTGCTTCTCAGCAGAAAATCTACTTTGACTTAGCTTCATAACATTTCAAGGTGCGATTTCAGGGCTTTTCAGTTTTTAAATGTGCTCAGCTTTAGTTTTGAAGCAGCTAAATGACATGGCCCCAGATGACTGAAAATGGAGCACAGAGAGCGTGAAATGCTCGCTCAGGATGGTTTCTTCTCATTCCTGATGCAATAAAACTTTTTGGACAGATGAGTTGCACTCCAACTGCACTTTGCTCCAACAGCTCGTTCTGCTGCTGCTGTGACCTGTTCTTGTTTTTCTCTCCCTCCCCTCTTCCAGGACCTGCCATCCTTTACACAGAATGTGCACAGGCTGGTCAATGACCTGCGCTATTACAGACTCTGCAACGACAGTTTGCCCCCCGGGACTGTGAAGCTATAGTACTTGGCACCAGGCGCAGGTTTGGACCCCTGTAAAGAACAGATCTGCCTCCTTGTCTCGTCGCGGCCTCTGCTCCCCCGATCTTGCCAGGCCTGCAGGATGCAGCACCTCACGCGTGGGGCACACATTGGAGCCACACACCACGTCCCTTTCTCGTTCCCTTCACACTCATCTCTGCGACTGAGTCTCCCGCAGGGTGTCTTAAGGCCGGCTGCAGGCTGTTCCCCTTGCTGGGTGTTTTTGTCTTAATACTGTGGCATTTGGTTGCGTCTGCAGGTTTCAGTGGCTGGTCTTGTGCGTCAATTATGAGGCAGAAACGCCAAAGACTACTTCAGATGTTCCCGCCTTCACATCATTCCACCTTCCTCCCTCCCCTCCTCCTCCCTCTACCTTCCCCTCGAGGTGACATCCCTGATCACCACCATTTTTGTTTTTAAATTGCCTTGAAAGCCTCCCTGTGGCCAGTGGGGTTTCTGAGAGGGATCGACAGACTGACTTCCGTTTCTTTTTTTTAAGGAAACATTTTTCTCATCATTCCATTGTGATACTAAAATGTGCTTAATGGAAATAAAAAGTGCTTACTTTGTTGTTTTAACCTGAGTTGAGCTCTGCTTAGCCACCTCAGAGGCCTTTCCAGAACTTGGGGGCTTGGGGGGGGGCAGCAGCAACAGAATTGGAAGTAAATCAGCAGGCAGAACATGCGGAAGCCACTCAAGGTATGTGAGGCTGTCTAGGTTGCTTGCTGACATGTTATCATTTACACGGAGTATGTGCCACAGCACTTCATCCACCTTTTCACTCTCTGTCACGATTATCACGGGCCTTTCTTCCAGGCATCTTCTCAGGGTAGCTTTGCCTGGGCTTCCTTACATTGTTTAATTTCTTTAGAAAAGCAGGATGGGGCAAGATAGACTGGATAAGCCATTGGCCCATGGCCATCTAGTGAGATGTGTGACTGTGTGAGCAACTTGTGGTCCAACAGGTGTTTCAGCTTACAACTTCTCGTCTGCATCAGCCACATCTGGAGGGAAACAGATATTCCATCCATGGTTTGAAAACCTAGTAGTCTTGACCAAACGCTATAAGGTTCGCCACTATTATGATTCCTCTTATTGTAGACTTGTTGGACTGGAAAGGGGTGAATCCATGTGGCTGGCATGACAGTTGAAATGTTAGGACAAGGGTCCCTAGCATGTCACACATGGGCACTTGCAAAACTTCAAAGATTGGCATTGTTGATAGACGTAGGTAGATCCAGAGCTTTTTTTGTCATAAAACGCACCGGAATGGCGTTCCGGCACCTTTTTTTCCAATGGATTTTACGAAGTGATTTTGAATTGCCTGTCAGCGTAGCAGGTCAGCAGCAAACATCATTAACATAGAAACAGAGCAAGTCAGAAGGGCCATCTAGTCTGACCTCCAGCACCAGCTGGCTCCGCTCACGACATGCCCACCATGTGCATGTCCAGCCTATCCTTGAACACCCGCACCGATGGGGCCTCAGCCACCTCCCGTGGAAGCCCATTCCACACCCTCAGGGTCCTAATATAGTGCAGGTGGATGCTTTTGTGTCTGCGCCACCTGGCTTGGGACGCTGCTCAGCTTGGGATTGGTGTGTGTGGTCATGCGCTGAGTGCTTACTGCCAGCAGCGACGTGAGTTCTGGCACCTTTTTTTTTTTTTTTTTAAAGCACTGGGTAGATCTATGCATTCATAGCATTTAATGCATATGAAATGCACACAGGTTTTCTGGCAATTATACATAGAATCCAGGGAAAGGGGACCAACGCTGCATTTGAAGGTGGGACCTGTATGACACCTGCCCAGACATCGAAAGCTCCTCAATCTCTTGCATTATCGGAGGTGAGCATTTATCCTTCCACGTCTTTCAGTGATCAAAAGAGCACGGAGAATCCATGTATGCTGACCATTTGTGAATTTGCATGAAGCAGGTGAATAATTACAAAAAAGTGTAAACGTTAGTGGATGTTTATCACTGAAAGAACTCCCTCCCAAAAAGAAGCAACTTCTGGACATGGCCAAAATATCCATTTAAAAGAAGCATCAGCTGCCTGCAATTAGTTGAAGACACAGCCTAGGATCCTTGGACGTGACAGGGAAACATCAAATTGTCCCCCACTAATTAGACGTTTTGTTGGTAGTGCCCACCAGTTTCTTAAATTCCTGAATGTGCCCATGGGTCCAAAAGAGCTGGGGACCCCTGTGTCAGGGAATTCCCAGTGACTTGAAGCTTGCAACTGTGCTGCATTGGTTCTATGAGTGGGCTATACATCTCCCCCACCACGTTATTGACATGAGTTCTGTTTGCTTTTCCATCTGGAGCCCTCGGGTGGTATTCTGTGAGGATGCAGACACCCAGGCACTCAGCTAGTGACTTTGAGAGAGAGAGAGCTTAAATGGATGAATGTGTTCTGATTTTATTTTTATTGGTAAGAACCTGTGGTGCTCTCTCCTTGCCATCTTACTCAGGTGCTCGTGTGTAGTGTCCAAGTCTGTTTTTCTTGTTTGATTTCTGTCACGTTACCGCTCTGCATAGCCCTGGCCTGATGCCGGATCAGCAGTCTTGCAAAACTGCTTGCCAGTTGAAGTAGCATGTTTACCCAGAATAAAAGTGTATGTTTTTCCTGTCAGGATCAAGGGCACAGATCTGGAAAGATGCCCAGGTCCAGCTGTTAACGCAGCTGCTTATCTCGTTTCTCCAGAGCGCATGGGCTCTGTGAAAAGTCTGCTTCAGTGTATGGATTTTGTTCTGCCTCCTGTTATGGAACGCAGGATGAGTTTCCATGGGGTTCCCAGGGGGCCTCCTATCCAGGTACTGACCAGAGCAAGACCTCCTAAGCTTCAGCAGGGTTTCTGTTTCCTATTTATTAATTTATTATACTAATGTCACAACTTTTTTCACTCGTAAGGAACCCCAGATGGCTTATGTGAACCTGGTCTGTTCCACTTTTATTCTCACAACAACCCTGAGGTAGGATAAGTTGAGGATCAGGGACACCCCCAAGGTTATCCAACGAGCTTCATGGCTGAGTGGGGACTAAAGCCCGGATCTCTGGGTCCCAGTCCAGCACACTGACTATTATACCACACTGAACCACAGTCTTGGCCTAAATATTCTTTCAGCAGGCAAAGGCCTCGCCCTGAAAAAACGGACCCTGCAGTGCTTGCAGCTGCTTGAAACAGCTGGTGCTGCAAAAGTTCTTTTTCATGGGTGTAGCTTTCAAGTTTCTGCATGAGGCACCCACCTCAATGAATGGATTGGCTACCCAAAGCCACAGCATTGCAGCTCTTGTTGGCCTACACTAAGTGTTTAAGTTCCATCTCTGGTATATAATTGCTGAATGGCTTTATTTAAGCATTGTTTCCTCTTTTCTCACTTGATGGCAAAAAGGTATAGTGTGGTGAACATCCTGTGTAGTGATTGTGAGTCTAACACATTTTCTTGTGGAGCAGCTCTCATATATAGGAAATAAAAACAAAACATGGACGTTGGTGCAAGGAGGTCACAGTCTGAATCTTGTCACCGGGCTTGAGAACCAAGAGACCAAGTGTGTGAAGTTGCGTCTGTTGAGAGCTGATGCCTGTTTGAGGTGGACGTGGGGCCCTTGCCTGAGGGTGGAAGGGCGAACAAGAGAAACAAACCGGGCAATTTTCCTGTAGGAGCAATGGCAGCAGGAGCATCTGCCACAGGACAAAGCCTCTGCCCTTGACGTGTGTCAATATTTTTCCTAGGGTCAGCAAATGCCCCACAGGTTCAGTGGTGCCATATGCCATCTGGAGTACAGCCAGTTCAGGGCTGTGGAGCAACACACTGCTTTGAGGCCTGGCCACTGCTCCTGTGCGGGCAAAGGAGGCTGGAAGACCTGGCTGACACCTTGTTTTTGCCAGGATTGGTTCCTTGGCAGCTACTGTTTTGAGAGGACTAGATGGGTCTGGGCTTTGTCCCCTAATAATTTCTAATTAGCTGTGCTGGGCTAGAGGAGCTCTGAGCTTCCATGGAATCAGGCGCCCTTGTTCCTGTGCTCTTCCTTAGGTTCCATCTGCTTAGGAGGAGAGAGGCCTTTTTTTAATAGAAGACTGTTTATTATTATTTTAGTTGAATCTGCCCAGAGCCTAGCAATTAACCTGGTTCTAAACACAATTAGCCTGGTGCTAAATATAGGCTATTGTGGCTTTGATCCCTCAGGAGTGTGTGTCTGTCTGTGACAGCCCTTGTCAGCCTTGTGCTCTCCAGATGTGTTCGGCCGCATTGTTGGCTGGAGGGGTTACAGGATCTGGAGGATGCTAAGCTGCGGGACGATGCTGTATTCCAAGGTGCAGCACTGGTTTTTCTCATCCATCTCCCTAGGACAGTAAGCGCTGTTATTCACAACTATCCTGGGAAACTAAACTATGAGGACCCAGCCCAAACTGGTGTTTCCAGCAGGAGAGTGCCCCTGTGGCTTATGGGTAATGCATAGTGGTGTTAAAAATACACTTGTAAATGCAGTGTGTGCATGTTCCTGCTAGTTACAGGAATGCACCCCCCAACAAAGTCTGGTTCAGATGTATGAAAGGGCAGTTCACATAGCCCAGCATTGGTCGATTATATTATTGAATGCATCATTGTGTGTGGTACTTTACAGATCCCTGCCCCAAGGAGCTCACAGCTTAACACTTGACATAGGAGGAAGGGGAAGCAATCCTTAGGGCTGGGTTGGCCCAGATTTGACAGTTTAGTACTTGGGGTGTTGTGGAGCATATAGGTACTCAGGGTTCTAGGTGGTGTGGAAGTTTTAACCCTTTCAGTGTACATTTTCAAGGGACGAGTGCCTTGTGTTCAAATTGTTTCTGTGCTTGCCTGGAAGTTCTGTGGCCCCTGTCCATTTGGTTCGATAAAATTAACAATTTGTGTGGCCCTATTTTGCAGGGGAGGGTAAAAATTTCCTTAAATCGGGATAATGTTTCAGGGAGCTGGGATTCACACTGCAGACAGGCAGCAGCTTTTTAAAGAGTCAGCAGAGCTGGAAAATAGCTGTTTGCTTAAGTTCTATTTTATTAGTGCTGGAGAGCAGACTCCTGTTCACAGAATGTCCGTAGCCATAAAAAAGATTAAAAAGCCAATTTTCCTACCTTTTCACCATTGTTTTCCATTTGGATGCCTCTTTCATCTGCATCCTCTTCAAAAATAAAGGAATAATCTTACGTTGTAATTTGGCCCAGCGAAAGGCTAAATATTCAAACGCATAGATGGCTGTGACATTCCTAAAGCGATTGCAGAGCAGTTTCTCTACTGCCTTGACTCTGCACAGTCACTAGTGGGGCAGATTCCTGTAGGTTTTTGGACTTGCATCTCCCATCAGGGGAAGGGTACACCATTCCCTGTGTAATCATAACCTAAATGCATTTAGGAAATCTTTTGTGTGCTTTAAATGCATTTTGATTTCTTGCTGTAAACTAATAACAGTGAATCCTGTCCTTGATAGCAATACAATCTATAGGCGCTTTTGCCAACCAGGTGCATTCCAGACGGCTTGCCCGGCAGCTCCCATCATCCCCCAGCCAGCATGGCCATTGGTTGTGCTTCCTAGAGGATAATGGGAGTAGTCGAGCCCGGCTGGACAACACCCAGGGTAGGAAGGCTGCTGCCCAACGGCTCTGCCTTCGTGTTCCTCTCTCTGCCTGCCCGGCTTTTCCCCGGGCTGCCTCGCCGCCCGGCAGCCGACGGAGAGGCCAGCCGGCGGCCTCCCAGAGGAGGCGGGAGCGGAGCTGGGGCTGCGCGGGGCGCGGGCGAGCGGCCGTCCTCGGGGGCCCGGCGTGCGGGACGCTCCCGGGGCGCCCGCCGGGAAGCGCGCTTTAGGGGCGGTCCGGAAGCTGCTCGCCGCCCCCTCGCCTCGCCTCGCCTCCCGCCCCCGGGGCAGCCGCGCCAGCCCCCCCGGGGCAGAGCGGAGCGGCGGCTCGGCGCATCCCTCCGGGCCATATACCCGGGCGGCGGTGGCGGCGGCCGGACCGCACCGCACCGCACCCCACCGCACCCGGCTGCCTCTATGGGTTTCCTGCTGCGCTGCGTGGCGCGGAGCCTGCGCGGCTGGGGGAGCCCCAGGCCGCTGGCGGCTGCGCCCTCCGAGCGCCTCCCCGGGGGGCGGCTGTACAGCACGGGTGAGTGGGCTGGGGGGGCGCGCTCCCCTCTCCTCCCCTCTCCTCTCCCCCAGGACGGCTAGGATGACAAACGCACCCCGGGTTTATTCGCCGCTGTTGCCGCCCCCCTTTTTGCTCTCTCTGCGCTGTGCCTTCTCTAGCTCATCAGCACAACGACCCTGCGAGGTAGCGTGGCTGAGAGTCAGCAAGGTTGCTGTATTGCTAGATTTGTATTATATTTCTATCCTGCTTTGTTTCCCTTGCAAGGAACCTAGGGCTGCTTACATGGTCCTCCTCCTCTAAGCTTTATATTCGCAATAACTCTACAAGGTGGGTGAGGCTGAGGGTCAGTGACTGCCTAGAGTGAGCTTCCTGGCGGAGCAGAAGCTAGGGGACTAGAAACTGTCTCCCAAATCTCAGGCTCCTGCTCAAACCACTGCACCACACTCTCTCATCTGCTTGTCTTTGGTGATTACTGGGCTGGAGCACTTTAGGATCTTTCTTTCTGGAAGTCTGTGCTTGCACATGACTTGCCTTGAAACACTCAGGTTAAGATGCAATGCTGTCCAGCTTGCAGCATGGCCTGGCTGGGGCCTGCTGGAGATGTAGGACTTCCCCCCTGTTTAACGAGACCCTTGGATGGAACTTGCTTGGACAAGGCTTCTGGCGGCCTTCCTTTCCTGGCCTCTGGTGCCCACAGTCAGGCAGTTGTTCCTTGCTGTACTTCTCCTCGCCCCCAGAGAGACCATAAACTCCCACTCCCCTCCGAGGAAGACAAAAAAGGTAGATGTCCATAAATTTGCGTCTTCTGATGTGTGTATAGAAGTGCAGCACATCTCATTACAGCGAGGGAGACTGTGAGCAGGTGACCACATGCTTGCAATCCCATCTACTGTGCAGGTGTAAACTTGGTGCCCAGCTCCAGGGTTCTCCCTTTTGATGGTTCCATGATCTTTAAACCAGACTTGGACAGGGCAGCCCTACAAATAGAAAATGCCTTGAAAATACAGGACTGTTCTCTTATAGTCCTTCAAATAAAGAAGGATTATTCTCTGAAAAGCAGGACACAGCCACCCCAGCATAACCCACTCCAAGATGCAACCTTTGGATGCTCCTGGAGATACGGCAAGGTACACAACAAAAAAGACTTCCAAGACTGCCCCATTCCTTATAGAGGCCTAAGGGCTTGTACCCCAAACCCCAGATTCTCTGTGCCTGCATCTACATTACATTGATTGGATAGATGGGTTCTACCGGCCTGCTTTACACAGATTGATTGTGTAAAGCAGATTGATTGTGTCAAAAGCATGCTTCCCACTTTTGTTTTACCTGGCAATCTGGGAACCAATCCAGTCCACAAACACTTGTGCTGCCATCTTTAATCTGACATTAGGCTATGTCTTCAGAGCACATACTATGCACTGAAGACAGGATAAGGTTGTTAAGTTGCATTATCTTCCAAAAAAAGTTGTCCATTTTATAGGTGCAGCATTCAAAGCCGCAGTCCCACCCACTCTCCTCTTTAGGTCCTAGCCAAGGGACACTTTATGTCCTCCCAATTTTCGCCTCCTCTTTTTCTTTTCTTTAAGGGGATGTCTGCTGGCCTGTCTCTCTTGCTTCCCAGAGCTGCTATTCCTCTCCTGCAGGATGAACAGGCCTTTGGGAAAAGGAGAGGGAGGGGCAGTTTTGAGCATTAAACACTTTTTGCTTGTTTCCCAAACTCTTGGGTGCCATCTAGGCCAGTAGATCTCAAACCTCTTTCACAGACCACTTGAACATTTCTAAGGGATTTCACTGGCCACTTGATCACCCTGTTTTTGCCTTAAAAATCAAAGCAAATAGATAACTCATATTTAAATAACTTTTTTTTTTGCAAGCACCAATATGACTCTCAAGCCAGTGCTGTGTGAAAGTGAGAACAAGGCAAAGTGCTGAAAGGACCCCCTCTAGATGGTCTTTTAAATAATTTCTATTGAGTTTTCGGTTAAAATTATCCCATGAGCCCCATCAGAAACACAATGGGTGGGTTTTTACGTCCTGTCAACCAACTTTGCAAATCAGCTACACTGGTTGGGTTGTTTATGCAGCAACCCACACTGAACCCAGCAATTAGACATGGAGTGGGCTGCCCCTCTCCTTCCCCCGGGGTCCTCCAGTGGGTGCCCTGAGAGACCCAAGGCGGGACTCTCCTCCCTGCGCTACAGTGGTGAGTCCCTTTGCACCCCTGCTTCTCCGGGTGGGAAGCGTGTTCTCTGGTTTGACAGCTAATGACACTAACCCTTCCAAGTGCCAAGCAACACACTGCAGAGTCTATAACTGGTTTGTCACCCCCCTCTTTTTTAATAAAAACAATGAGGGTTTAGTACAAGCAATGGGTAAATTTTTAGAACTGTTTTTATAATCTTTAAAAGAGATGTAAAATGTCATTAAAACAATTAAACATCATGTTAGCTGGATGTGTGTAAGAGGGTGTGAAATGGCAAGCCACACTTGTGTAAAGTTTGGCACCCTCTGTAGGTATTGACCCAGAGATTTATTTTTCACTTCACCTTCTCTTGGCAGTTGCTAAAAAGGTGAATTTTCAGAAGAACTCACAGCCACACATGATCTTTCCTCATGAAAGGGGGTGGCTGAGATTGTTCCCCTTTGCAATACAGTCTCTTTGTTCTTCTTTTGAACTCACTCTTGTTAGAGTCTTTGAACTTTTCTACCTTTCCAAAGATTGTAGATGCTCAGGAAAGTGGAAGGGTGTGAGCCATCCCTTTCATCCAAGCATGGGGCTTTGTAAAGGCTATTTAGAGATTCTGAGAGGAATATGAATGCGTGCATCCTGGTTGAAACAGACAGGATGTGAAATCCCTGAGGGGAAAGAGGAGCTCTGTCTAAAACAAAAACCAAACAGCAACTGTTGAGCAAGCAGACAAAAAACCCTTTTAGAGGAAACTGGAGATTCTACAGCTTGCTGTCAAAGTGCCTTGTTCCCATTATGGGTACAAAGACAAGCTATAGGCTTGGATGCCTCACTGCCTTTGAACAAGCCACTCTGCGGGAATTAGTATGGGTTCACATGACACAACAACCCATGATGGGTTGCCATGTCATGTGTACCCAGTTGGTTAAAAAATCACAACCCAAAATTTCAAGATATCAAATCATGTTCAACACCTTCATCTTAGAGTTATAAAAATTTAATACAAATTCGCAAGATACCAGCAGGTCTGCACTACTGCGGTATCACAAAAATCAAAGGGCTTGGACCAGGGCTTTGTTAGCCTGATCAGTACTTTGATCCTGGTCCTCTCCTGCTAGCAAATAAATCAATGCAGGGATCAGAAGAGAGAATTGTGAGTGTTCTACCATTTTGTCCCCACAGGCCCCCTGAAGAGAGTTTACAAAACAGTTCTGAGAACCTCTGATCTAAGCAGGAGCAACTTAAAAACTGGAATGAAAGAACAGCTTCTCCATTTTCCCCTCCCCCCAAATAGTACTTTCGCCCTTGCTTTGGAGCGGTGTGGTTCAACTGTATTTATCTCTCCCATCAGCCACAGTGCAAACAGAAAAATGGAACAGTCACTGTAAAAGCAAAAACATATTTGCAGAATGAAATCGGGGTGCAGGTGCCGTAAGATATCAATATCACACATGTTTGCTGCATAGGGAGCAAAACAAGTTTGATGCACTTCACTGCTGGTAGGGCAAAACTGGCCTTGCTATTCATTTCATCACTATTTGCCCAAAAATACTCTCATTTCTGCCAGTTTGGGCTTGTTCTTCCAATAACTGGAGGTGAAGCTTTTGATGAGCGTGTATGATGGCAGAGCAGTGGAATTCTAAGTGTCAATGTAGGGTACTGTGCGCTGATAGATAGCAAGTAATGAGAGTGAAACCAACATCGATTAAATCAATAAGGCCTGGACCCTAAATTTCATTGTACCATGGTGCCACCCTGAAATTAATGGTGCCATTCTTTCATTGGGCTCATGATGTTGAGCCCTTCAGAGGTGGTCAATAAAATGTATTATTTAAATCCACTTTTGAGGGCACACTGCTTTCCCAAGACAGCTTGCCATATTACAAGAACATGAACATACAGTGTATAATTAAGCTCGCATATACCCACACAAGCACCCCAGGGGTACCAGCAGTTGTTAATGGTTTTTATACACCAGATGCAGACTGAAATGTGCCTTTTTTTAAGGATTTTTTTTTAAGGCCAGCATTGATGAGGCCATTCATATCCCCCTGGGGAAGGCGTTCCAAAAGTGTGGGGCCACCACTGAAAAAAGAGCTGTCCGTCGGACTCAACGGTTGGGTGGCTCCTATGAGTGGCCCAGAGAGTAGGTCCCCTGATGTTGATCTTAACAGCCGGGCAAACTTACAAAGATATAGGTAGTTCTTCAGATAATTTGCACTCAAACCATTCAGTTTTTCAAAACCAAACCCAGCACGTTGAATTGGGACAGGAAATTAACAGGCAGCCAATGTAAATATAAAGTTGTTTGCTTAGGTAGCTCTTTCATCATTTATCTTCCAGTAATTATATAGCTGAATTCAGCACAGTCTGGTGAGCTTTCATTACATCATTCTTGTTCCAGATTTCAGTAGTCTCACTGGGCCAAACTTTGGAATTTTGAACATTTCATAGAATTTTATTTTGAAAGGTTTCAGTTTCACTGGACAAACATTCAGATGCTGGCAGTGTGGTGCTGAATACAGAATAAAAGTAATAAGGAAACAAAAATCAAACACTTATGAATAAATCCCTAATTTTCCATGGAATATCTTGGATGATATAGGATACAACTAAAGGCTTTTAAATAAAGGAAGGCTTGCCTTATCCTTGCAAGTTTACCAACATTGCAAAACAGTGCAGAGAGGGAAGGAAATGTTGGCTCGTGGAAAGTTCTGCAGGAAAGGAGATGCTAGAAATACAGTGTCAGTTGTATTAAAGCAGACCTCGGTGTGAAATAATGGCCATGGCCATTTGCTGAGGAGTCTTGTGGATAAGTGGATCACGCATCCTACAGTTGGCAAGGTGCGTCCCATTAACAGGGTGATAAAGCCAGTTGCCTGGATTCAGGCCAGGGGTGATCGAGGACTTCCTCTTTCAGCAGTTTTGGGGTTTTTTCACTTTGAAGTTCGTCTGTTCAAGGAAGTCATCTTAAAAATGTCCTGGAGACTGAAATCTTCTAGTAGTTTCTGAATGTCAGGTTTGTAGCTGTCCTTCCGTTCATACAACCTAGGATTCCGAAAAGCAGTGCTGGCAGCTTTGATGGCCTAGGCGGCCTGGGCTGATGAGCAGGTGCAAGGGCCATGGCCATCCTGGCTGCTTCAGACGATGGGACAATCCATCCTGGGTAACTAGCCAGCCAAGCCCCTCCTGCTTCACGCTCTGTGGCTTTTTTTTCAAGCCACCCTTAGAACCCATGGGGTGTCGTAGGTTTGTTTTATTCATGATGGGTTGGAGGCCTGCCAAATGCAGGTGACCACTCTCACGGTAAGTAAACTGAAGTACTGAATAAAGCATTTGGCAAGAGGGCGAGAAAAGCGGCATTGGAGGCACCGTCACGGGTTGGTCATCTTTTCGTTTTTGTTTTTAATTGGGCCGTGGGACTGAAGTAGTTAGCCTCACAAAATGTAGCAGGTGCCAGTCCCACACGTTGACCAGAGTGGCCCCAAATACACCTCCTCCCCCCCTTCCTTTCCCCTGACAGCTGTCAAAAGGCAAGCTGTCAAGGGAAAGCAAAGAGACATGGCAAGATTTATACTCCCTTCTCAGTGAAATCATTTTCCCCCTAGATGGTGCTCATGGTGAAGCATATTTTTGCACGATTCCCTGAGACTCTGGAAAAGTTCAAAAGTGTATCCCACTCCTTTTCCAGGAAAAGGGGTTTTGAGACAGCTCGCTGTCAAAATCAGGGTTCCTTTTAAAAAGGGGTTTTAACAGGGTACTGGGTGTTTTGTCAGGGTCATACACAGCCATATATTTGCAAAGGAACCAACCCTTATTAGCATGGCATGCAAACCAGCCCATTAGTAGTGTTGCCCGAGCTGGCACCCCGGATCTTATATGATCCAGGAACTAAAAGCGCTGTGTGTGTGGTGGAGGTGGAACCAACTTGCTCTTCCGCAGCTGCATCAGTTATCAAGGTCCCTAAAAAAGTAAAATTTGATACGAATGTCTGCTGAAATAAGTCAGAAGGGAGATTCCTATCATCTTCCTCTAAAAATCAGCGAAACAATTAAGAAACTTTTCCAAACTTGCCTTAGGCTTCAGTCCAAAGCAAATTTAGTCAGAAGAAAGTCCTGCCTCTCCCTGCATGGCTGGCTGGAGCTTGCTGGAAACTGGAGGGCTTTCCGTCTAAATTTGGGTAGGACTGTGCCGCTTGATGCTGCTGCCCACAGCTGTGTCGCTAGCGGGGACAGCAGCTTATTGGCACAGCCTTGTCTCTGCACTCTGACGTGCGTTGTTGCCTCCTGCATTCTGCTCCTTGTTCGAACATTAGGGTGACAGAACCTGTGTGTTCCAGAGAGCAAGCCCTTATCGGTGATTCCCACAAGCAGGAAAGTGACCAGGATACAACGGGGGAATTAAAGGAGAGGCCGTGGCCATTGTCAGTGGGGCATTTGTGTAACGGCGATTGTCCTTTCTGCAAATAGCAAACTCATTTTCTGTGCATGGATCCTTCTCTAACCAAACGGGCACCACCGCTGCACAAGAAGAAGCCATGAACAAATTCAGGGGGACTTCGGGATTGCAACAGTGCAAATCTTGAGGTGGGAGGGATTCTGGGGCGCAATAGGAACTGCTCAGAGAATACAACGTGTCAAGGGAAAAAGGACAGAAAACCAGTGAGGTGGAATGGAGTATCCTGAAAAAGAACACACCGAGCTGGCTGCCAGGAGTGGGGAACAGGAGTACTTCCACCTGCAACTTACCACATTTTTGTACCACTCACAAGTACTGCAATGCCAGAGCAATCTTCCCCCCATTTATGCGCCCACTGAAGATACCTTGGACTTCAGTGCCAGTGTCCCTGCACTGGCTAAGGGATGATAGGAGCTGTAGTCCAAAACAACTGGCAGGGACCAGGTTGGAGAAGGCTGCCTCGAAGCCTTGGCTGCAAGACATCTCTGCTTGGCTGAGGATTCTGGGTCGTGCTGTGGAGCCTCCCACTCAAAGTGGGACAAGCACCTAGAGAGAGGCCCCAGCCCTCTCCACAGCTCCACCGGGCAAGGAAGGAGCGGCAAAGATGGGCGACACAGCTTTCTGGAACGCTTCTTCACCAGGAAAACGCTGTGAGAAAACTCGGCACCAGATTAGCCGCTTGGCAGCCTTGGCTTGCAAAAGCACCGGGCAAAGGGGAGCGTGCTGTGAGGCGGCTCCCCCTCCCTCCAGCAGCCGTCTCTCTCTGGCCCCACACAGGTGGCTCACCATGCAGGGCTCACAGTGTGCTGTGCGGAGATGTAAACAGGGACTTCTACCCCGAGGCTTTGGAGCCTGCCCAGTCCGCGCTGGGAGGCCTGGATTTCCCAGGGACTCTCCGAGGCATGGCACAGGGATCGCTGCAGCCCCCTCGCGTGACTGCAGAGGGCTCCTGTGGGGGCAGGTGGAGCTGCTTCTCCATGGATCAGCGGCCCTGGCCAGGATCGTAGGATGAGCTGGGCTTGCCTTCCCAGTCTCGAAAGAGCCCTGCAGCGCTATTTGGCCAGGAGTGGTCTGGACGGACAGACGGACAGAGGGACCGCGCTTCCACCCCACTCCTCCAGGGAGCACGCGGAGGCGTCCGGGGCGGTTCTCGCTCTCCATTCTCTCCTTCTTGGCAGAGTGGCAAGGCTGCCTCAGGTGGTCGAGGCTGGGTGGGGCCTCCCGGGGTGTTTCCACTAAGCTGGCCTGCCCTGAGCCCCCACAAGGGAGCTTTTTGCCCTGGGGGCAAGCAGGCGGCTGCCCTTTCACCAGCAGCTGAGCGCTGGCAGTCAATCCAGGCAGGCTGCAGTTGTGAAGTTAAGGGCCTTGTTTCCCTTCCCCTGCAGCGGGAGACCCTCTCAGGCAGGTCCCTTTGTCCACTGGCCCAGTATCTCCCCGTGAGTTTCAGGGGCCCCTCCACCGAGTCGCTCTGCCCACTGCCGTGCCAGCTTTCTCCTCTCTCCTCTCAGGCAGGTGGGGTGGGGGGCAGTAGCAGGTGGACTGCAGTAGCGCTTTCGCTGGCGGAGCTGCCCTTGGTGACTGTCTGGACTGCAGTGGGTCGCAGCCATCGACGCACCTTGAGTGTGTCTGTCTGATGGGGGTGTCCTTAGGGCTGTTCCAAGAGGACTGCTTTGCCGATCCCTGGAGCTTTGGCCCACGTCTGAGCCCCAGGCATGCTTTAGACTGCACGTTTATTTCTTCGGGCTTCTGTAGTAGGCTAGCCTGAGGGTTCTTGGAGCTGGATCCAGCTTGCTGCTAATACGCATGTCCAGTTTGAATCCTGCAGGGAATTCCTAGCTGCGCCTCAACATCTCGTAATAAGCAGATTCTGGAAGCCCTTGGAGGGTGGGCATCCTGTTTTTTTGTGGCTCGCTCCCTTCACTGGAAAATACCTCGTCTTCCTCCATGTGCAGCTCATTGCCCAGCTGTGCGCTCTCTCGGTTGGTCAAGGGAAGAAGCTGTACTGGGGCAAAATGGGGGCAAAGGAGGGCTGGGGGACATGAACGGTCAGTCCTGGTAATTCAGGAAAACCGCTCCACATCCACACTTCCTGCTTTGCTTTACCAAGTTCCCTGCTCTGTCCTGCCCGCAATAATGAGGGTGGTGGCATTTTGCTTCATGCTAAAAATGTTGAAATTCAGATTTTGAAGAAGCAGCCCTATTCTGTATGATACAAGAAAAGCATGAGAACAGCCCTCCTGGATCTGCTCAAGGCATCCTGTTTCCCACAGTGGCTAACCTGATGCTCTAGTGGGAAAGCTTGCAAGCAGAACACGGGACAATCCAGGTGCTCTAGATCCTGGAGGAGTAAACAGTTATCCTGGGCAGTAGCCATATTTACCCTGGTGCCCCTCAAATTTTTCCAGTCCTCTTTTAAAGCCACCTAAGTTGCTAGCCATCGTGTTGCCTCCTGGTAGCCATTTCACAGCTGGCCCTGTGTGGAGTGCTTCCTTTTGCCCGGCTGGAACGGCCCAGCTTTCAGGTTCAGGAGGGAGTCCCCAGTCCTTGCCTTCCGTCTGCTGCAGACATGCTGGACTACCAAGGCGGAGGGCTCCAACTTCTCTCCCTTGTGCCTGGCAGGCATTGCGGGGCTTCAAGAGCGCACTCTGATCGCTGTGAAGCCAGATGGGGTCCAAAGACGACTGGTGGGGGATGTGATCAAACGCTTTGAGAAGCGTGGCTTCAAGCTCGTGGGCCTCAAGCTGCTCCAGGTATGCTCCCCAGGAAACCCAGAGCTGCGTCAGATGAGTACGAGCAACACAAACCGTTGCGCGGGGAACAGCTCACACTGGGCCATCTTAACAGCATTATGGGCCCCTACGACAACTACAACTACTGCTAATTTTGGAGGTTTTCCCATTTTCCAAGGGTTACATACACAGATTAGTATGGGGCCCGTGGGCAAGTGCCCATCAGGCCCATGCGTTAAGACGGCCCTGCTTCTTGGGTGTATGTTTGGAGTGGGGTGGGGGTCAAGTGGTGCCATGTTCACCAAAACCTCCACTAGACTTGCCAAATTTTCAACCTGTCCCCCGTCCCCCCCAGGTGCCTTTAAAAGCTCTGCGATTTTACCAACTGACCCAGAAAAGCTTCCACTATTGATTGTGCTGCAGTTTGAAGTACAAGCACTGGTCAAATGTGGGTGTTTTTTTTTGGCCCATTTGCCATCCCAGAATCTCACACCCCTAGGGTCAACTTTGTCAGGAAAATGGACAGAAGGCAAGTTTTGTCAGCAGAATTGACAGAAAGTTTCTGTGAATACAGAAAGCAAGATTCTAGCCCTGGGGACAGATGGTGATTCTGCACCTTCCAGGCACTCAGATGCACAACATATCGGAATCCTTGGATCGCCACTGTTGGTCAGGGCAAAGTAGATCCTGGACCCCGGAAGGTGGAGGGGAGCCCACCTCCTCACCCCCTTTAGAGGGTCTGTGCCCTCCGGGAGATGATAGAGTTAAAAAAATGCTCTTGCAGTCAAGGTGACTTGGTGTTCTATAATTTTTAATGGACAAGTGATCATCTATTAAATTTCTTAATTTTTTTAAAATGTAGGCATAACTACAATGGTTGTAAAGTTGCTGCAACAGCATTGAATGTGGTCGCGTATATTTCATTATTTACCCATAACATGGTGCAGTGTAGCAGCGTGAGGGCTGAGCGGGCTGTGGGGCACAGGACCTGGCGGAGGCCCTGCGTTCACGGGGCGCCGCAGATGCGAGGCAACTTGACAGCACAGTGCCAACAACAAAAATGTGCCTGGAGAGGAGGCACCGTTCATCCTCCTCTTTCTTCGTCTTTCACACGCCTCCTTAAAGCCACTTGCAATATTGCTGATGTGACTCGAGACCAATGTCCCTTTTCCTAAAAGACAGAAGGAGAAGCTGGTAACAGAATTCGGTAACTAGGACAGTGATGGCGAACCTTTTCGAGACCGAGTGCCCAAACTGCAGCCCAAAACACACTTATTTATCACAAAGTGCCAACACTGCAGTAAAACCTGAATACAGAGGTATTAGTTCAGATAAAACAAATAAATATGCTGCAGGGGGACAGCACAAAATTAAAAGAATCTCAGTTTCTTAATTAGGATATCTCTTTGCTAAATCTTAGATATTAAATTTCAATTTTTCATAAGAAAACTCAAAGCTAAAATTTTGTGTTAATAAAAATGAATGTATTAAGACTCACAGCCAGTCCAAGCAAACCTGTATATTTGAATGGACAAGTCGCAGCTAATGAGTCGCGGTTTGTGATGTCATCGCCTGGCGCTGCTACTCCTTTCCAAGGATGCGCATGGCCCCTGTGTGCGCTGCTATCTGATGCTTGGCTGCTGGGGCCATGCTGGGGCGACTTGGCTGGTGTGCCATCTGGGAAGGCTCTGTGTGCCCGCTGCGGCACGCATGCCGTAGGTTCGCCACCACTGCTCTAGGAAAGCACAAGTGGCCATGAAAGAAGTAGAAAAATGGCAGTTAAAGTGACTTGGTCCTAGAGCTCAAAGATGGAGAATGTTCACATTCAACCTTCCCCAACCTTGTGCTTCCAGACACATTTGGAATACAATACCCAGAATTCCCAGCCAATGGCCCTGATATTAAAATGGCCACCAGGTTTGGAAAGGCTGTTCAAGTAGATTTAAATCTTGTGAAGTGGTAAAGCAACTTCCCTTTTCTATCCTGTTTGCTCCCTTTCCCTGCTTGCCATATGGATTGGGGAGAAGAGACGCACCAGAAGGGCATCGTGTCTCCTGGCTTCCCTAACCAGCTGTATCGGATAACAAATCCCATAATCCCTACTTGGCAGGATTTTGCTTGCTGGAGTGATAGGAGTGGAAGTCCAGATGCACCCAGAAGCTCCCACTTGGGGAAGGTTGAATCTGGGGGAGGCATGTGCTTTGGTCTACGCAGCCACATTGGGTTCCTTTACTCTGCAGATTCCAAAAACCCAACTGAATTTACAAAGCATTTTCACCCGTTGTCTTAAACGAGAGCCCGGGGGGGGGGGGGCGAGGGTGGAGAGAGGGGCCTTTCTCAGGATTTCAGCCATGAAAAGGCCCCGAGGGCCCTCCTCAGCAGCTGCCGTGGTCTGCCTGCGAGGAGGAGGTGCGGCTGTTTCGGAGATGGGGCGTTCCTTCTCTCTGGCAGGCCAACGAGGGGATCCTGGCGGAACACTACCACGAGCTGCGCAGGAAGCCCTTTTATCATGAGCTGATTCAGTACATGACCTCGGGACCAGTGGTGGCCATGGTAAGGCACTCCCCCTCTCGGCGTGGGTCCCCGTGCCCGCGCCAGCTCTCAGGCCGGGGCTGGGGGAGCGATTCCGGCCAAGGGGCCCAGGCTGTCGGCTCAGGCCTCAGCAGGCTGGATGGCATCCGTGGGCCTGCTCACCCCTACGGGACGCTACCCTCCCGTGCCCACGCTGCCCGGTGCGCATTTCTCAGGGTGGAGAGAGGGACACGGCTGGGCCGGGAAAGTGGAGAGCGAAGCCGGGGCTCGCAAATGCCAGCAGGAGTCGCACCTGGCCTCTGCTGGCCGGCGGGGCAGTGAGCAGCACACGGTCTTGGCACTGCCTCCCACAGACGGTCTCTGGAGCTGCATCCCAAGAGCCCTTGTGCCGCAGTGATGGGTGCATTCGACTGGAACCAAGGAGGTGACTTATGAGGATAAAATGGAGAGGAGGAGGATTATGAGAGATGTCTTGAGAGCCTTGTAGGACAAGGATATATATAAAACATAAAACAAGGCTACCATTTGCCCGTGGTCGTGATCGCTGCAAATCGCCCCAGTGCCAGTGGCTGGGGACACCCGGCTGGGCCACGCTGCTGCATCACGTCCTGCTTGGGAACTTCCCACTGGGGCCCAAAGTTGGCCGCTGCGGGTACCAAACGCTGGTCTAGAAAGGCCAGGCTTAACTTAGAACCTCAGGGTCATTCGTCTGACGTTCTTCCACCCTGCTGGGTCTGCTTCAGGTCTGGGAAGGCTACAACGTTGTCAAGACTACCAGAGCCATGGTGGGGGAGACGAACCCTGCAGAAGCCAAGCCAGGCACAGTCCGGGGAGATTTTAGTGTCCATGTCAGCAGGTATGAATGGGGCCAAACAGCTAGGCTGGAGCCGATCTGACGGAAGCCGTCCAGCTCAAGCCTTGGCAGGCGTCTCTGGTCTGTTAGCCATCCACAGTGGGCGCAGAGCCCAGCTAACTCTGGTTCACGATGCTCTGTAGAGTAGCTCATGCTGTCACATGGCGATCTGGGAGCCTAGCGTTCTGTCTCTAGAAACTCGCCCTTGAAGAGAGCAATAATGGGAAGCAGGAATATTAACTTCTTGTGAATTAGGAATGTTTGAAAGCTAAGCATCCCATTCCCTGTCTTATCAGTCATCAGATCCTTGCAGGTTTCCTCACTCCCCCAGGGTTACAAATACAGCCAAATGCCATTTTTAGACTGTTTACTTAACATTCTATTTAGTACCCTTATTTCATGCTGAACCACATCCTTTGTTGAGGTTGTTGAAGTTGGCCACTGTGGCCCTCCAGATGTTTTGACCTACAACTCCCATCTTCCCTCACCATTGGCTGTGTTTGCTAGGGCTGATGGGGGTTGCAGGTGAAAGCACCTGGAAGGCTGCAAGTTTTCTCCCTGATCCATGCATATATTAGAATAAATAGACTAGATTACTTCCACATGACTGCATAGTGCCTGTTGGGACCACACGTTTGAATGCTCCTAGAATTTAAATAAATCCCTTGCAAGTAAAACCCCAGCTGAGCAACAGCAGGTAGTTTATTTATTATTTGCATTTATATACCACCCTAGTTTCCAACTTTCTCTCAGATTTGGTTGTTTTTATTTGCACAGGGTGTTTCCACATGGAGTATTCCAAAAGGCCTTCCCCCATCTGTGGCCTGAAGTGGTATAGTCCACTCATTCTGCTGCATACGCAGTGCCAACTTTAGGCTATTGTTCATCCAGAATGCTGGGGGTGGGGGGTCTTCAGCTTCCTTAATAGTTTTCATATATCAGAATGGGCATGTGACCCAACAGCCTGTGAAGATGGTTCGGGATTTTGAGAATGGTTCATTATACTGTCTCATGGCTGCACGCTGAGCCTTTCCCATGGAATCCTGGGAACTGCAGTTCTGCTTGGCCAGATGCACTGAGAAAGTTTAGCACTGCATCTGGGTTCAGGTCAGGACCAAGCCTACCATGAGGCAGTGAGGTTCTTGCCTCAGGCGGCAGGTGTTGGAGGCAAGAGCTAGAGGTGGGAGGGGAGCGCTGTGGGTCACAAGGCCATGTAATGGAAAGCCGCCAGATTCCCTGTTCCTCCAGCCAAGTGGGCAAAATCCCACCCAGGATTTCCCCAGTCCCTCTGTTCCTGAACCAGGTGCTGGTTTCGGCACATGACAAATCCAGGCTTGGGGAGCAAAACCAGTTTATTAAAAGGATAGTGTATAGGAGTGGAGGGTACTAAAACAGACAAGCTAAAAGGAGTAAAATGGGGGGAAATGGGGGAAGGGGCATTGGAGAGCAACACTGGTACAATTCACAGCCAAGGGCCTGTGATGGCCCACTCAGACTAGAAAACAGAGCTAGCCCTAGCCTCGGCTAGACATGGAAACTGCCTCTGACAAGGGCAGGATGCGCAGGGCTTCCTTGTATGCTTCGATGCAGGCAGCAGCAGGGATTCTCCAAGGAGGAAGAAAGATCCTTTCTGTTCCCTGGCCTTTATCTCCCCCACACCGCTGGTCAGCTGCCCCATGGGGTGGGGCCCTTCTCCCATCTTTCTCAGTGCCAGTCCTTAACCAGTCCTTGCTGTTATCGCCAGCATCCTTGAGGCCATAGTTTCTGGTAACCCCAAAATACATCAGAAAGCGGGGAGGGTGCCTCCCAGGACCTCGGGCACCAGATTCCTGCTGAGCAATAGGATGCTCTCCCAGTGTAAAAGCAAGGTCAGTGTAAAAGCAAGGTCCCCTGGCCAGTCCCGCTGGCTTTTGGAGATGGAACAGGAGACCCGCCATCTCGTCCTTTGTTTCAGGCAGCAGAATGTCGTAGGGTGTCTGGGCTTGCCCTGGACGCATGGAGGGAAGAGGCATGGCAGCAACAGAGGCGCGCCATTCCTCTTTTGGGGTGAATGGGAGCCTGAACGGGTGCCGTGTGCTCACTGCGGGGTTGTTTTTGGAACAGGAATGTCGTCCACGCCAGTGATTCTGTGGAGACAGCCCAGAGGGAGATCAGCCTTTGGTTTCGCAGCAACGAGCTGATAGACTGGGACTGCTGTGATCACAAAATCATGTACGAGCTCTGAAGGCCCCTGCCCTGATGCCAGGCCGTCTGCCTCTGCTGACACGCTGCCTTTGATCCTTATTCTGGTCCTTTGAATCCGGGTGTGCGGGGAGATGGGTGTTATTCTCTGCCCACTTGACCTCTTCCATGGGGGGCAGGCACCACTTGCCCATCTGCTTTGCTCGCGGCCGAGCACATCGGACTCACCTGGCGCCGTGGTTGGGAAATACGGATGGACGTGGCCAGGAGACAGCAAAGTACAGGTCTTCATAGGGTTCCCATTAAAAAGCCGATTTGTACAAACCCAGGTCTGCTTCCTGTGCATGGAACGTGTTGTTTTTCTTACACTGAACTCAAAGCAGCTTACCTCATTCTCCTCCTGCCCCACAACAACCCTGCAAGGTAGGTTGGGCTGAGAGTCTGTGACTGGCCCAAAGTCACCCACTCAGCTCTGTGGCCAAGCAGGGACTGGAAGCCAGGTCTGGCTAGTGAGTGGTTTATGATCTCTCTCTCCCTCTCTCTCGCATGCAGATTTGGACAGCTTCCAGGTAGTTCCTTTCTACAGATACTCCATCATTGTTCTACTGTAAACTGTAAATGAAATTGCAATTGACTTTCCACACTATTGGGGTAACACAGCCCTGTTCAAATCTGTGAAAATGCAAGGAGCCTAGGAACTGGTCGTGATTCACTCACAGAATGAATAACCCTGCTTTTCTATGCAAGTCCTGACATGAATCAGTAAAACAGAATGCAATCCAGACAACCAAAAATCAGCAACAAAATCATCAAGATAAAAATAGCAGCACAAAATGCTATTGAAAAGGAGCATCTGGCGCCTAAAAGATCAATGTTTACAATTATATTCATAGCCCACCTTTTTTTCTAAGCTGCTCACTATGGTGCATTCTCTCAGCTAAGTTCAGGCAGTGCAAAAACACATTTCAATGACAAGCCACGCTCAGCCCTTGAGTCTGGGTTATCGGGCTAAGCATTTGCGCTCCCTGCAGTCAGCTGTCGGCCCAAGTGCGCGAGGATGAACGAAATGTGGCTCGGTTAACCTGGAAAGTTTCTTGTGGGGCACAGGAGCAAGGCACATGTCCCAGCAGAAGAGTGCCGTTATTCTGAAGGATCTGCCTGCTCTTAGTTCCCGATCCAAGTCCAGGTGCCACGGGCCAACTGTTCCTGAAGCAGGAGTCTTTCATACCCAAATCATCTGCTTTAAGCCCCTCTGCAATGCCAGAACCAGATTTAGGCAATATTACTGAGGTTTGTGCTGTCCAGACTGACTTTCTGTGCCCTCTGCAGAACATTGAGGAGTGGGGGCAGGGGGAAAGGGGCTCCTTTGTCGGGGATCTGGCATCCTGTGACATCCACATGCTTGCAGCCATGTGAAGATCAGCAGTGGCCTGGAGTGGGGGCAGGAACAGAGGCCGTGGTCTTTCTGAGCCAGCAGCAAACTGTTCCCTTGCTCTTTGGAGCGCTAATATCAATCCAGTGAGAGGCAGCAACATTGCCCTAATTCCTGAGGTAAATCGTGAGTTATAGGGCTGCTGTGTAACTAGCAGCAGCCGTGAAAAAGGCACGTGTCATGTTAGGCATAATTAGGCAAGTAATTGAAAATAAAACTGCGGCTATCATACTGCCCCTATACAAATATGTGGTACAACCACACTGAACGGAAATTATGCTGAGTTGCTCACCGCCTCTATGAGAGGATATTGTCGAGTTGGAAAAAGTGCAGGAAAAGGCAGCTACAATTATCACAGGGGTGCAGCGGCTCTCCCCATTGAGGAAAGGTTGCAATATCTGGGGTTGTTTCACGTAGGAAAAAGGAATAAAGGGAGATATGATGGAGATGTGGAGACAGCGGAAAGGAAGACGTGTTTCTCCCTCTCTCCCAAAACAGGACGACCATGGGTCATCCTGTCATGCAAAAAGCTGCGAAAATACTCCTCCTCAAGTTAAATAACCAAGACTACCAACAGAGTGAGTCGATTCCTTTGTTTCTTGCAATAGATGGGGAGAGTCCTCTCTATCAGACTCTCTCCAAAGTACAAACACACGAAACAACTCCTTCCGCCCCTCAACCCATCGGCCAAAGCCCCCCCCCCCCATTGGGTAAGATACTAGGAGGTTACAGTCTGTCCGTCCGCTTACTTCATACCTCCCATCTCATCCCACTACATACATCACATGTGCAGTATAATTAGCCCATTGTCTATTCAAGGCATCTGAGTTAATATCCATCAACCTATTACAGCCGTGTGCTTATAACTACTGGGAGGATGAGACGGGAAGTAGCACGCTTTCGTTCAAGCCAATTATCTTTTTCTCCCCTCCTCATTCCTTCAGACGGGCTTCGCGGCTTGGTTGTTTGCCTCTGTTGCTCCGTCACTGGGTTACCTCCTTCCACTCCTTGCACCAGGGGTCCTCGAACTGTTTAACCAGGGGGCCAGTGGAAAGGGGCCAGTGCTGGGTGCGGGCTGGAAAGGTGGTGCTGTGGAGGGCGCGCGCGCGCACACGTGCTGAGGCAGGGGGCGGGGTGAGTGGGCACGCACAGCAAGAGGAGGCGCGGCGCGGCGAGGCGGGGGTGGGCATGCGCCGCGATGCAGCGGGGGGTGCACGGTGCAGTGGCTTGCTCGCCCGGAGATCGTCTTCTCCTAGCAAGTCCAAAAGGGCCTCCGGGCGAGCCTGCCCACCTCCCCACGCGCGGGGTGAGGCAGGCAGTGGCGGGCGTGGCGCTTGAAAACCTCTGTGGTGGGCCGAATAAATGGGCATGGTGGGCCGGATCTGGCCCCTGGGACGGAGTTTGAGGACCCGTGCCTTACACAGTGCAAACTATGGAATTTACTTCCACGGGATGTTGTGAAGGCCACTGATTTGGATAGCTTGAAAACGGGATTCTGTAAGTCTGCAGTGAGAAAAGACCCTTTCTGCCTTGAACCTCAGCAGTTTATTGAAACATCACTTAGCCCCCCTGCAGTTACAGTACCGTTACAGTACAGTACAGCATGCTACCAGACAGTGGTTCTCACTGCCAACTAAAAGCTTTTAGAACATACACAGAGTGTTTTATAGATTCTGAGTCACGTGACATAGCAACTGATCAGGTGATGACAAAATAAGGGGAACACAGTGAAAAAGAATGAGATCTGCAGAGGAGACTGAATACAATAGCCTTGATTACAAGAGATTAACATAATGATCATGGAGGCACTGGGATTATTGGGGGTCTTGGCATGTAAACGAAGGTGATTGCAATACTGCTAGAAAAACCTGTCCGGCTGCCTTATCAGTTTTGTTTGTTGTTAGCACAAGAATAGACAGCGGTTGTTAACTTTCCTTGGGAGCCCCTTTCTGCAAAGGCTTTTCCAACCAAAGGGATAGCCCTCTCTTAAAGGAACAGCTTAAAAGTAACACTAAACAGAAGCCTCCCTTGGAATTCTGGTACTTTCTGAGAAAGAGGTGCAGAGATGTGGCAGGTTTGATTTTATAACACAAAGGATCATGCAAGCAACCTTTTTCTACCAGGATTTATTCTGGATTTCCCCAACACCTGTGTGTACCAGTTGCTGGGAAACGTGGAAAGAAGGGGCCGTTTCCCTCATGTCCCGGTCATGGAGTTCCGTGCGCAGCTGTTTTGCCACTGTGTGAGCAAAGGCTGGACTAGATGGCCCCTGCCAGCAAGGATCCTGTTGCACAATTATTTTGGAAGAGACTTTTAGTTATGCCGCACCCCTCAGAATCACAGATGGGTTCAACTATGCCATGAAGAAAGGAAAGGGCTCCAGAAAAAAACTCTTTTTCTGTGGAGTTTTATACACACTTCCCCTCAGGAAACAGAACTGCCAATGCCTGTTAGAATATAACTTTGAATACAAATTCCCCATGACACTGAGGGGTACAAGACCCCCCTTTGGTGGATGGTCCAAGAGCCTCCATTTTGGATTCAAATAGTAGGTAAAGCAGTCTCAGCCCTTGAGCCTTCTTCCACAGTCCTTGACCTAATACATTCCTGGAGTTTGCACCACAGCAGAACTTGGTTCTCTGTAAGCTTAACTAGGCACATCAACTAGGGCTTCTCCCTGTTATGGTAGATATTATTATTGCATTTATAACCTGCCTTTCTTCCTCTGACAAGGAACCCAAGGTGGTTTGCAAGCTCCTCTTCCTCTCCATTTTATCCTTACAACAACCACCCTGCGAGGTAGGCTGGGTGAGGTCTGTCGCTGGCCCAAAGTCACCCAGAGAGCTCCATGGCTGGGTGGGGCCAAACCTGGTTCTTCGGTGGCCCCGTCCTGCACTCTTGACCACGGCACCACACCAGCTTTCCAGTTAGGGCTGCCTGTATCACAGCAGCCGAAGTGATCGCTCTGCCCTGGAGGCTGATTTGTTCTTTTTTCTCTGGCAGATTCTCCTTTCAGACTTTTTGAAGGAGCAGCCATAGAATCAAGGATAAGCATCTTCGTTTACTATTCCTTAAATAAGGGAATTTTTCCAAGCCTTTTACTAGTTTCTCGGGGGTTTTTTTTCGGGGCAGCAGTTTTTCAGTAATTGGAGGATTTTTTCCTGCCATTTCCTATGTAGGGTTAACCATTTTTAAGTATCTCCAGATATTCCCAGAAATATATATGGTTCCAGAGTCAAATGCCTGAACATTTGCCAGGCTTGAGTGGAAAGCAAAGAGCTGGATCTCTTCCCGTCCACACCAAGAACAAAAGGCGTGGATGAGGAAGGAAGAGGTCGGGGACCACGGATCTTTGCGGAGCCTCTTTCTAGGGAAGGAAACTGCATATCCCAGAATGCCTCCCACATACGTCACCCTCTCCTAACTAGGAACTACACTTCCCGGCAGACTTGGCGGGGGCGGGGCGTGTCCTCTGTGCGCAGGCGCACTGTTGCGAGACGAAGTACGGGACTGGACAGGTAAAGGTTTAAGGGAGTTGGAAGAGGTGAAATTGGGGCGCCGCGCGTGGATTTGGGCGTGTGTGTTGGTGGTAAGGTGAGGGGGAGGAAGCCACTTCCAGGATTTTGAGGGCCCAAGTAAGAGAGAGCCGCTCAACACACCCCTCCAGTTTCCCAGCTCCTTTCCCCCTGGTATGTGTTTCTCATCATGGGGCTAGGCCTCAGTGAGGCTTCGAAGGGAAGAGGGTATAGAGAAGATTTATTTATTTATTCATTCATTATGATTTGAATAGCCCATTTTTTTCCCTCTTCCAAGGGCCTCAAGGCGGTTCACATGGTGGTCGTCCTCTCCATTTTTATTCCCACCTTGTGAGAGAGACTAAGTGGAGAATGAGGGACTCTGGCCTAAAGTCAGCCATCGGGCTTCATGCCCAAGATGTGTGTGTTTGTGGGGGGCTGGGACCCGGGGTTTCCGAGCCCCAGTGCAACCCCTATGCCGTATGGGCTCTCCCCTCATTCTTGTTGTATTCTCGGAACAACAGCCTAGCGAGGTAGGCTAGGGTGAGTCAGGGACAGGACCAAACTCCCCCAGTGAGCTTTCTGGCCTGGAGGACTAAAGCGAGGGTCTCCAGAGTCTCAGGCCCAGCAGAGGGACCCTTGCAGCACGACCGGCTCTCTGAAGCAGTGTATGAAGTCCTGCGTCCAGAGTTTTTGCATGGAGTTCCTGATGGGTGTTCCTGATTTCAGGGGGCTGGTCTCCCCTGCCAAACCCCCCTATACCCTAAAGCTGGGGCTTCTAGTGGCCTCCTCTCCTGTCACACGCCAGGCTCTCTGACTATTTGCAATGCTTTTTAAAGATTTTTAAAATCTGTTAAATCCCCACCACCACCTCCTGCTGGCCTGTTGCCAAATGAAGAACTGCCGTCAGCACCATCCTTATTTAAGTTCAAAAGATTGATTTTGAGATTGGGCACTCAGACCCTGCCTCTGCCTTGTAATTAGCGTCTGAGACAAGTTATTTTTATTTTAGGTTTACAAATTTGCCTGCTGAGGAGTAAGCATTTTGTAGTCAACATTTTATGAATGGCAGCCTCTCCGTAAGCATGGTAGCCATTTTGTGAGAAATCCTGGAACAGTCTCTCCGAGCTGAAATTGTCTACCCTCCCCAAAACACTGGAGGCTCTCAGAACCAGCTTGATCCTGCAGGCCTGACCTCTGCCTGTCCCTTCTGTATTGGGACAAGCAGGCTCTCCACAGGCTGTCATCTGGCTAATTTTCCAGGGCTGCCATTTCATTCTCTTCCATAGCCCTGCAATACTGGCATGTCATGTGTCAAATGGTGTTTTCTCTCTGTTCACACAAAATCTGGAGTTCACTCATACCCTTATGAGACCCCCACCAGTGAGGCCACCAGAGAAGGTCCTCTGGTGCCATTCTCAGCTGCCCAATAGGTTTGTGCAGGATGAAGCCGTTCAAAAATTCAGTAACTCTACAATGATAAGGGATACTAGAGAGATAGGTGACTAAGATTGGAAATTATGTTGGCCCTTCTTTTCTGGAATGAACTTTTAGCTGCTGGACCATATTCTGTCAAGTTTGGTAGAAGAAACTTATCACATCTGATCCCAAACACCAAATTGAGACTTGGAGGGAAGTCATTTCTATGCCTCCATTTCTCTGGGGAGCTAATATGGGTGTTTGGAGAGAACAGGCTTAATTCTAACATATTACTTAGGTGCAAGTTTCCTTAGGTTAGGAAGGTTTTGCCCCCAACAGTTCCTCTCACTGAATTTTCCAACAATTGTTAAGCTCTCCTAAGGTTGTTTTTTTAAAGGAATAGATTAGTGTGAAAACTGCTGAAAGAGAAAGCATAAATGCTGCATTTTTGTGCATGCACATGATATTTTTCTTTAGCAGTTCTTTATCTGCAGCAAAAAGCAACATTGATTTCCCATCTTTGCAATAATGAGCTGACATTATCTGCCCTATTTATGTATTTATTTGCACACAGTATTTTAACTCTGCTCTTCAGTCAAATTAAAAGGCTCCTTCATGGCACAAAGGAAATGGGAGAGAGGAGGGGGGGGGGGGAAGGCGAAACTCAGGAACCAGTTCTTAGTTTCAAAGTTGTTGTAGGTGTTTTTGTGGCAGAAAAAGGTGAAACTGCTCTCTCATTTGCTGCTGCTGCTGCTGCTCCTCCTCCTCCTCCTCCTCCGGCCTCTCCCTTGCCCCTCAGTGGTCCTTGGTCCCCTGCCCAAAGGATGAACCTTCAGGCCCAGGATCTGGTCACTTTGTGTTCCTTTTGGGAAAAGTGAATTTCCTGCAACTTTTCCCTCTCTGGCTGATATATAAGGCCAGGCTGATCTACATCTTGTCCTGATTCCCTTCTTTTACTTTTTTATTTTGGAAAGGGATATTTGTGGTGGGCTACTAGGTTATCTTGGAAATTGTCTTTAACTCTGATTATCTCCCCCTTGAAGACAAGAATGGTGTTTTTTTTTTTCATGCCCATGGACATGTATGGCTAAGAAGTACCTTTTGCGTCCTGGATCGTTTCTTACTGCTTCTGCGGGTGGGGAAGTTACAGGCATGAGTTGCGATGATCGTGCGTGGAGAAATGGCTGGTTCTTCTCCCTTCTGTTGAGATTTGTGGTGACTATAACTTGTTGTTGTCTTGGCCAGAGCTATCGAAGAAGCCATGTCTCAGCTGGGCTTTGCGTGTCAGCCTCCTCTTGATGTCGACAGGGATGACTGTCTCCAGGAGTATTCCTACCTCTTCAGTCCTGACATTCTCAAGTAAGTATTGCCAAGACAGCTTTTACCACTGGAAAAATAATACACGGAGACTTTTAACCCGATGCGCTGAATCCTGTGTACTTTTTCCTTTTTCATTCCCCACCTCTACTTTCAGTCCTGTGTCTGTCACACCCCTTTCGCTTCAACTTTGATGTTCGCTAGTTCTCCTGTACTGTCCTCCACTCCATCCTGTGGTTCCTACAATGAGTGTGGAAGGAGGTGCCACAGCTTTTTTTCAATAATGTGTAAATAATGGAAATGCAAACCTAAGAGTTATCTGCAAAGGTTGAAAACCTATTTTTTGAGCCTCCTGTTCAGATTTAGTATTCTACATCAGACTTGTAAATAGATGGGGAAGAAATGGAGGTAGTGACAGATTTTATTTTCCTGGGCTCCAAGATCACCGCAGATGGGGACTGCAGCCAAGAAATTAAAAGACACTTGCTCCTGGGGAGGAAAGCTATGGCAAATCTAGACAGCATACTAAAAAGCATGACCAATCGCGACCCCATGGACAACATTCCTCCAGGCCTTCCTGCCCTCCACCATCCCCCGGAGTCCACTCAAGCTCACACCAACTGCCCCAGTGACTCCATCCAGTCACCTCATCCTCTGCCATCCCCTTCTCCTTTTGCTGTCAATTGTTCCCAGCATTAGGCTCTTCTCCAGGGAGTCCTTCCTTCTCATTAGATGGCCAAAGTATTTGAGTTTCAACTTCACTATCTGGCCTTCTAAAGAGCTGTCAAGGTTGATTTCCTTTAAGACTGACTGGTCTGATCTCCTTGCTGTCCAAGGGACTCGCAGGAGTTTCCTCCAGCACCACAATTCAAAGGCCTCAATTCTTCGGCGCTCAGCCTTCCTTATGGTCCAACTTTTACAGCCATACATTGCAGCTGGGAAGACCATCGCCTTGACTATACGCACTTTTGTCAGCAGGGTGATGTCTTTCCTACTAAAGAAACAAATAGTCACTTAGATCCAAGGAGAAGCAGCACCATTTATCTTGCCCATTTGACCTTTGATGCTGCATTTTCTAAATGGAGTTTTATCTGCTGCAGAGAATCAGTAACAGCTGGAGCATGTTGGCTTGGCTTGGTATTTTGAGGGCTGTTCAGACTGGAAATGCTGATGTCCTCACCCAGTGTACAGCTTCTGAGATGACCTTGAGCACGTGGCACTCAGTTTAATCCAGCCTCACAGGATTGTTGGGAGACCAAACTAACTGCAATGCAAATGTGTCAAGTGAAGTCTGGATTTAAGCATAACAACACACCATCTCCATATTTCAGACTTGCCTTTTATAGCCCAGGTAGTTTCTAGCAAGCTCATGATATAAAGAATCGTCCCTCTACCTGGAATGGGTATGGCACAATTCAAGTTGATTTGGTTCCTTCCCTGCTTTCTCCCATGATCTTCCCTAGTACCCCCTGCTGTTTCTGAGGGCACAACAAAAAAGCAGCATCTGAATAGACCCCATTAATTATAACGTTTATATTCTTCTTATTTCCCAGGGGCAAAGTTGCATTCATCACAGGAGGTGGCTCTGGCATTGGCTTCCGCATAGCTGAGATTCTGATGAGGTACGGCTGAAGCCCTTCAGGAATCTCTGGTGTGCTCCTGTCTTCTTTGATCCCACCTCTGGGGGGCTTTGTGTCCCTGTTCTTAGGAAGCAAGCCTTTTCCTCCCCTCACAACTGTGTTGGGCATTGTGACAATTGCATCTAAAAATGTGCTGTTTAAAATTAAAGCTGCCACTGTCAGGAAGCCAAGTTTTGCTACCAGCAGCCGTGCCGCACACCCGCAGAAAAAAAGCATGCGCACTGCCTTGTGCAGGGCACCCCTGGCAGATGGCAGCAGCACGGTTCCAGACCTGCCTCCGGCGGCCACCCCGGGTGGGACATGCAGGGGCTTAAAGGCCTTTTCCCTCCAAAGGTGCACAGGACTGCGATGTACATAATGTACTTAGCACATCGGCAGGGGGGTGTCCGTGTATGTGAGACATGAATACAGCCTGTTCTGTGACCCTCTCATCTTGTAAGGTTTTGTTCGTAGGCATGGCTGCCAGACGGTCATTGCCAGCAGGAACCTCCAGAAACTGACCAAGGTGAGTGGGAGGGGGATCGCCATGTCTTCCAGGTGCAAATCAAGGTGTTGACCACATTCCAAAGTGAAGCCAAAACACCCCAAAATACCAACAGC